TAGAGGCCAACTATCCACCCAATATCTTCAAGGCCCCCAAAGAGCAGATCCTAAAACTACCCCAGTTCCCTCCCAGGATCCCCTTGCTACCTTGTCTTCCTCACCCCATACCTTTGGTGTCATAGGGATGGTGGGGAGGTCTCCCTCCGTTCTCTGCCCGGTTCATGGTCTGGTTGTTCTCCAGCTCCTGGGGAGGCTCGGGGTAGTCTCTGAGGCCAGGGATGATTTCTGTGGCATCGTTCTTGAAGGCCGGCCACCCCTGGCCCTCCACAGCACGGAAGGCGGCATGCACAAGCAGGCAGACAAGACAGAGGGCCAGCGAGAGCTGCATGGTGCCAGGTGGAGGCGGGCACCCAGTAGCACAGGCTCCAGCCCTCAGCCTAGCTACAGTCGCCTTTTTAAAGCCCCCTCCGCCTCGTGCCAGCCAATAAGGATGGGCTGGAACAGGGCTGGTCCCATGTTTCCTCACCCCCCTCCCCAGGGGGAAAGGGGTGTGCTCAGAGTGAGCCCTCCCTAAGACTTCTCAAGCTCAGCAAACTTCCAAATTGCTGCTGGCACTCTCAGGTGACCCGAGGCAGGGACAGAGCCAGCGCTCCCAGCACCTCCCACATTCAGACGGCTGTGGTTTTCAGATATCAAAATGAGCTTGGCTTTTAATTGTCTGGCTCCCTGGGCCCCTCAGGCATTCTCAAAACAAACTGTGGGCCAGCTTAACAAAGGAAACGTGGGGCTCTGAGTTCTATAGAAGGCAGGCAGAGCCCAGCTGACCAAATTCCTCTGCCGCCCCCCACCCCAGCAGCTAATGTTCGTAATTAAAGGTGTTTGCTTGCCCCCCACTCTCCACTCAGAAGCAAAGGATGCCTTTTTTTATTTGGGGGGATTCTGGAGACTCCAACCTAGGGTCTCACGCTTGCTGTGCAAGCACACTACAGGGATGCTTTAAAGGCAAACCCACCGATCTCAACTCCAGCTCAGCACCAATGATTCTGAGCAGAAAAGTCTCTTGACTTTCTCTTCAAAACCAGGGGGGGTGTAGAGAGTCCACAGCCACCAGCGAGAAGGCGGTATTCTTGGAGATGCGCACAATGAGGAAATCTCTTCTACCTTTTGGGACCTGGGGTCCATTACAGAAGATTCTTAGCCAGGGAACTCAATGTGGCTTCTAGGCTGTCAAAGGCAGTTTCTTCCCCGCTCAGGCCTGGGACAGGCAAGACAGAATCCCATTTCTTGGCAAAAGCCGAGGCTAGTGTGTTTATTGCTGACATTCCCCCATCATTTCTCAGCTTATGATATTTCCCATGTGCGTGTGTGTGTGGTACATGTGTGCGAGTATACATGTATGAGCCTGCAAAGACCAGAGGAGGTGTGTCCTCCTCTGTCTCTCTCCAAGACAGGATCTCTTACCGAGACATTTAGGTTAGGCTGGCTAGCAGGCTGGTGAGCTCCCACGATCCACCTGCCTCTGCCCCACCACCCCCACAATCCTGGGGTTACAAGTACAGATGGCCATGCTTCCACATGGGTGGCAGGGATTCGAACTCAGGTCTTCATGCTTGCACACCATGCACTCTTACTCACCAAGGCATCTCTCCGGCCTCTCATTACGTTTTCATAAACAACTCTGAGTCTCAGATGAAAGATCCAAGGGACACATATAACAGGTGTCTCGGGGTCATCTAGGTCACTGATTCTCAACTTTCCTAGTGCTGTGACCTTTTAACACAGTTCCTCAAGTTGTGGTGACCCCACCCCCCCGCCATAACATTATTTTCATTGCTGCTTCATAACTGTAATTTTGCTACTGTTCTGAATCATAATGGAACTATCGGACATTTCCCATGGTTTTAGGGTTGATGACCCCCGTGAAAGGGTCATTCAACAACCCCCATGCGGTCCTGACCCACAGGTTGAGAACCACCAGTCTAGGCACAAAGAAATCCAAAGGAGGTGCTGGCTCAGCCTGCAGTAGCAAAAGGGCCATGCCAGAGGGGAGGACGGGTATGAGCAGGAGGGTTCACACCTGAGGTGCAAAAAAACCGGCCGGCGGAAGCCTTCACTGAGATAGATCGTCGGAGGATGGCCCAGCCCTGGAGGAAGACTGGGAAGGTGGCTATGGTCCACCTCGCCTTGGTATGCTAACTGCAACGGATCCCCACCTGCACAGCTTCTGCAGGGCTCTGCCACCTGCCTCGACTTGTAAGTGGCCTGTCCATCTGTGGCCAGCCGCCTGCGTCCTCCTTTTCATCTTCCGGCACCCACACATCAATGCAGCTGCTCTGACAGTTTTACAAGGCAGACAGAAGGCCCCTCAGGAAGGGCCCTCTCGGATACCTGCTTCCTAAGTCAGTTTCCTTCAGGGCAGACAAAAACAGCTGTGGCCATTGTTGGGGGTGATCTATCTCTCCCACCAGAGCTGTGGTGTTGTTAGAAGCTGCCCCTCCTTTTGTCTGTGACCTCCAGTCCCCTTTCCCCTGCTCTGGAATGTGGACTGTTAACCCTGTCTGGGCCAGAGAGCCAACCTGTTGTTCCAGATAGGGAGGGGGCAGTTCCTGGGCGTGTGTGTGTGTGTTTCTTCATGAACAAGCAGAATGGTTCTCACAGCACCACCTGCTGGTGGGAGATGACCATGGCTACCTTAATAGAGATGCACCCTGTCCTTGGAACACTTCCGCCACCTGCTGGACATAAAAGTAGAACCCAAATGGCCAGAATGACCAAGCTCGGGATTAAAGTGGTGTTTACAGGAGAAGGGTGTATACAGAGACACTGAGTTCCTTAACGGCCCATTCCTCTGGACCATCCTCTGCCAACAGGTAGCCCTGCCATGCTCAGGAAGACTCTGGGAACCAGCTGTGATGCCTACCTTCTGTTTTTTTCACTTGAGGTTAAGTCAGTAATGAGAGTACTCAACACAAAAAAAGTGTATCAAGGTTAAGTAATAGCCTTGGAGTCAAACCTCAGGTCTCCACAGATCCCTGTTGACTGCAGTTAAGGATCTTTCTTCTTCTTTTTGTTTGTTTTTCAAGACAGGGTTTCTCTGTGTAGACTGGATGTCTTGGATCTCGTTATGTAGACCAGGCTGGCCTCAAACTCACAGAGATCCGCCTGCCTCTGCCTCCGCAGTAGGATTAAAGGGTATTTCTGACCTCTTGTTCTCAGCAAGACTGCTATAAACGTTCTTGTATGCTGTAATGGGTTTGCTGTCTAGTCTGTTTGGGGTTTTGTTTGTTGGTTTGTTTTTGTTTTTTTCTTTGTTTTGTTTTTGAGATGGCCTTGCTGTAGATAGCCCAGGCTACTTTCAAGTTCACGGTGGCCGGTGCCGTTTCAGCTTTCCAAGGGCTGTAGGTAAAGGTGCGCACCACCACACATGGATAGTTTTGAATTACTCTTGGGAATTTTAAGATCATTGTAAGTTGACAAGTACTTGAACTAATTCAGAGGGATTTTATGTCTTCTCTACCCAGTTTCCCTCCGTGGCAACAGCTCACCAAAGGTGTCAGTACAGTGCCACAACCAGGTCTTCCAGGCTCCCTGATTTACCATTGCTCACTCACACGTGTACCCACTTGTGGCACATGCTCATGTATTAGCTTCTTAAACGAGTTTGTATTAGTTTATGTATGAGTGATCTACCTGCATGTCTGCCTGCAGGCCAAAAGAGGGCATCAGATATCATTAGAGATTGTTGTAAGCCACCATGTGGTTGCTGAGAATTGAACTCAGGACCTCTGGAAGAGCAACCAGTGCTCTTAACCACTGAACCAGATCTCCAGCCCCTCCTTCCATGTACTTACTTCTATGCAATTTTATCACAATATTTGCCTATTTACCACAATTCAGATGAACAACATCTCTGTGGACCCAAAGACCTGCTATGATGTCCTTTATTATTAATTTATTTATTCACTTTTTGAAATAGTGTCTAGCCTTAATCTCCAGACCCACCTCCCAGGCGTTGAGGTTACAGGCACATGCCACCTCAGCCAGCTCTGTCTCTTCTACAAAGATGTCCACTTGCCTCCTTCACGCTCCCTCTTCCAGACCCAACTCATGGCAACCACCGACCTAACCGCGTTTTCCAGTTTTTCAGTTAAATAATGCTATGCAGATGCAACCAATGCAGGGCACTGCCTTTTCTCACTCAACATAATTCCCTGGAGTTACCCTGTATATGGGTACAGTGACAGGCACGTATCTTTCATTAGTGTCCTACAGAGAATTTTCATTGCCCAAGTTCCCTGTGTTCCCCCTACTCAGCCCTTTCCTCCCATCCCAACTCCTAGCACACACTGAATTCTGTCTCTGTAGAGTATAGAACACCCTCATCTGGACTTACACAATATGCCAGCTTTCCAGATTGGTACCTCCAACGGTTAAATTGTAGGTGTTTAAAAGATTTTATTTTTAATTGTGTGTACATCTGTTTGTGTGTATGTGCTTGGTGTCTGTGAAGGCCAGAGGTGCCGGATATTCTGGACCTGTAAGTGGTTAGTGAGTCACCCAACATGGGTGCGGGGAACCAAACTCAGGTCCTATACAAGAGAAATATGAACTCTTAACTGGAGCCATCTCTCCAAGTCCCCTACGTGGGTCTTTTTTTTATTTTCTTTTTGGTTTTTTTAAGACAGGGTTTCTCTGTAGCTTTGGAGCCTATCCTGGCACTAGCTCTTGTAGACCATGCTGGCCTCGAACTCACAGAGATCCGCCTGCCTCTGCCTCCCGAGTGCTGGGATTAAAGGCGTGCGCCACCACCGCCCGGCATAAGTGGTTATTTTTTAAATTTAGAAAAAGGCTGTGCCGGTATGGTGGCACGTGTCTTAATCCTAGCACCTGGAGGCAGGGGACAGGGAATTAGGAGTTCAGGGCCAGCCTTGGCTACAGATGGAGTTTGAGGCCAGGTTGGGTTACCTTAAAAACAACAACAACACCCACCACAGAAGTCAGAAAAAAGCAAACATAAATAACCCAAGCCTTTAAAAGGAAACACACACAAAACAGACTTCTTTGTAAGGTAAGACATTTATTTTGGTTACAATTTTATAGAGTGTTAACACCGGTGATACAGTAGACATTAAACTTTCCCTTTTATCCCCCATGGCAGGAACTGAACCCAGGGCTTTGCCCATGCTAGGCAGGTGAGAGTGCTCCGCCTCCCTCCACCATCCCCTTTCCCCTGAACCTTTTACAAGTTACCCCAACAGGGGGAGGAGGCAAGAGCCACACAAGCTAAACATTCACCAAATGTCTCTGTACCCTGAGACGCCCTCTGTTTACTATCAGGATAGAATCTTGATCTGGGAAGACCATATGATGCCACTTTTAAGAAAAGGAAAATGTTCTGTGAGGAAAACTCTTATCTTAACATTTAAGATCAGTGCTTATTTTGATTAAAACATTGAGCATCTTAATACTACAAGCATCTGCAGTGAGCTTGCGGCTGGAAGGGCACCAACCTTCTCGACAGCGCCACCTGCTGGCTACATTTTATTACTCACGCTCATTTCTCCGAGGGTTGTGCTAAAGGCCAACTCTGGATTCTTAAAACAACCTCCCGCATTGGAGCCCCAGAGAACCTTAGTGTGGGCCAGAAGAGTTCCCTCATTAGCTATGGGTCGGTCTGTGTCCTCGAGGTAACAGAAATAATAGGTGGGGGAAACAGCCTGCCTCTGGAAAGGCAGCCAGCATACTTGAAGATTGAGAAGGGAACCATTTTATATTTTAATTTAATCTGGATTTTTATGAGTCAAAGAAAGTGATCAGGTACAGGGAAGAGGAAGGGGCATCCTGAATTCTTTATTCCAGGGATAGAACACCATCCAGGAACGGCCCCCACTCGCGGTCGTGCAAGTGGCGGCTCTTTGGCAATACACGGCAATACTACCTGAAGTAGGAGCTAATCTTCTGAACACGGGGTAAAGCCAACCAAGAAACCCTGAATTTTCAGCAAATAGCCCCAAAGGCAAGACGGGAATCTCCCAAAGGCCCCTTTTCTTTATTTTCCCACAAAAGCCTCCCGAAGGCGTTAGTGAGTAAACAGCCTTGGCTGTTCTGTGAGGTCATCACCCAGATGAGGCAGGAGGGGAGCCCAGCCTCTTCCCGGAGCAGAGTTCATCCTCACAGGTCTCCATGTGTCACCTGGATGAAGAGAAACTCTGTCCTACCTGATAGGGAACTCATTTTTTTTTTTCTTCTTTCTCTGGGGATGGCTCAAAGACGTCCAGGGCACTTGGACATTGCTGGGAGCTGGTCTCATTAAAGCCAGGAACAGCCCAGCTTTCTTAGGCAGCAGGCCTGAAACTACTTCCTCTTAGCTTTGAAGAGTTGGGCGACCCTTAACTAGCCTAATTTTTTTAGTTTTTAAAAATAGGATCTTGCTACAGTAGCCTGGAGTCTCAACGTGGAGACCACACTGACTTTGAACTTGCAGTGATCCTCCAGCCTCTGCCTCCCGTGAACTGGGACTGTAGACACGTGCTACCATGCCCTGTTATCCCAGGTAGTTTTCTGTTTGTTTTCTCTCATGACAACACACAGATAAATTCTGTCAGCTTCACAGGGTTATTAGAAAATGCAAATCAGATGAAGCAAGAAAGCCATTGGAAACTGTGGAGGGTGGTACACAGTTCGGCTACTGCCGTTTCATTCTGGAGAAAAGAGGACCCGTCCCATGTGTCCAGGGCTGCTGTGGTCACATAGGATAGGGGACAATGACCATCCAGGCTGCACAGCGCTGCCCCTGCGGTGATGGGAGGGAGGCCCCAAGATGCACCTTCTTCTCCAGGCTCCTCAGCAGCTCTGAAAAAGGCATATCCCTGACCTTCCCTGTCAACGCTGCTGAGTTCTCGATTTAAAGCTGAATTTAAAACATTCAACAGAAGTCCCTGATATGTCTTTCCCTCCAAGTAAGATTTCTTTGCAAACTCCAGCAAGACATCCTCCAGGCAGACATAAAGGCTGCTGGGATCCGGGTGCCCCATGACAACAACGCTCTATATACACTGGGCACCCAAACAGCTTCCTAAAAACAGGCTTTTATGAGATGCCTGTATGCTAGGTGCTGAGGTGGTGGCTGACTGCCGCCCCTCTGCTCTGGGTGACCCTGGATACACACAGCATAACAAGAACACAAAGTCCCAGAAGTCTGTGCTCACTCTCTGGCAAACGTGTGCACACATGAGGTCTAGCGCATTTCCAAACCATCCCTGGAAAGAAGTCCTTTAAAGGGTCATTTCTTTGTTTGCTCTCTCTCCAGTAAAGGACACCGAGGCTCATTTGTGCCCAGAGGGCCACTCCATCAGAACGACCCGTAAATGGGCAAGGGTGAGCACAGGGACCCTCCATTTCCCTCCTGTCCCCTCCCCACTTCACAGCCGTGCACACACCCACGAACACGAGCTGTAATTGGCCAACTTCCTCCTTCTATTCTTAGAATAGCAACCAGGATGAAAAGCAGTTAGTATGACGGCTTAGGCTCACCCACACTATAATTCAGGATAAAACCCTTGCAATTCTCCAAACGGTGGGTTTTTTTTTTTTTAATAGACTGGGCCTCAACACCCTGCATTCTAAAGAAGAGAAACAGAACCCTCCCCAAGGAAAAGGGACAGTGCCATCCACAGAGAAGACACCAAAGCAGCAGATAAGGAACGGAAGATCCTCAAAGAGGCACACTTTAAACATTCCGAAGAATTGGGAGAGCCCTCGAGGGAAAACGGATTTGCCTACCCAAGGGCCCCTGTAGAGTATCTTTAATTCTAAGGAAATAATTAAAACACAGCCTTTTTGTGGAAATCCAGCCACTAGGAACCTACCTCTACCCTGCTTCATCTTATGCCTCTGCCTAAGAGGGTGTGTCGGGCTGTGAGGACCAGTGACAGACGTGGGGAGAGCAGAACCTGTGTTTGCATAGATCACTTACCAGGGTCACCATGCTAGACCACTCGGGAACCCAGGTGCGGGAGGGGGTCCCGTGAAGTGCCTCCTGCCCTGGGTCACTGAGACGTATCTATGCCACAGGCTTCCTCCCTGAGCCACCACCTCAGGGAAAGGACATAAATGGCAGGGAAGGACAGCCAAGGAGTAAGAAAGGCCTCCTCAGCAAGCTTCTTCATATGCTCCCTAGGGGTGGAGCAGCCCTGGGCCACAATGGGACAGACAGATGGGCGAGTGCCGAGTGACACTGGGAGCAGGAAACTGTGTTTCCTAAGCATGGCTGCCAGGGCCTCCCAGTCGGACCTCCGCAGAAGGCGGCTGTGGGCACCCTAAAGTTTCACCTTGCCCTCCTTGGTTAGTCTGTCATTGAGCTGGCAGAGTTGGGCCAGGAAACCATCATTGGGACCAATCTCACGATTCTGCCTCACGATGCTCAGAGCAGACCTGACATCCATCTTCTGCCGCAACATGAGGTAGGCGATGACGAGTGTTGGGGAGCGGCTGTACCCCTCACGGCAGTGGACAAGCACCCGGCCTGCAAGAAACAGGAGAGATGTGCCAACTGGGGAAGCCAAAGCTCACTGTAATGCCGAAATTCTTCCAGACAACAGGTAGGAAGAGAGCGTGTCTCCACGTCACTGTGGCTCATCCTGCATGGTTAAAATATTAAGAATGAAAGACCCAAAGTTGATCAGGGACAGAAGTGAGCAGCCAGGGCTCTTCTCTATCACCAGGGGAGGCAGGCTCTGAAGAGCCCGCACCCCAGCGCACACACCATGGAATGCTGGTAACACGTGCTCAAGGTGACCGCCTGTGCTCCCTGCTGCCCGGCAGTACTTACTGCAGGGTGTTCTTCTATGTCTTAGGAGCCTATTCGTAGCGGTCTCCAGGTGGAAATTCCCAAGACTATCAACAGCAGACTGGGTAGATAAATTAAATTAAATTAAAAGAATTAATGATCTAGGTCGAGGGCTCAGTGAGTGGAGGGGCTGGACGTCAAGCTAACGACTTGAGTTCAAACCCTGGGATCCATATGGTAGAAAGAACTTTCTACAAGTTGTTTTCTGACTTCCACACACATGCCCAGTACAGTCATCCCTTCACCCCCGTATGTATGTATGTATATGTATGTATACACACACATATGTGATAGATAACAAATAATTAAGGATCTTCAGGTGTGGTGGTACCTATCTGTAACCCCAATACTTCAAGACGTTGAGGCAAGAGAGTCACTGGAAGTTCAAAGCCAGTTTAGGCTACAGAATGAGACCCTGGCTCAAAAAGAAAACGAATGGGAGATGGCTCAGTAGGTAAAGGCATTTGCCGCCAAGCCTGGTGACCTGAGTTCAATCCCTGGGACACACATGACTGGGGAAAAGAAAGCAACCCTGGTACACTGAACTCTGATGTCTACCCATACACTGCGGCATGCATGCATGCATGCATGCACACACACACACACACTCACTCACTAAATAAATGTAAAAAAATAGAGTAATATGCAATTTAGCAGAAAGAACATGTATGAAGCACAAAAGTATATATTTTTTTAGTATATACTTTTATATATAATCATAAATTATATATTTAATCATAGTATAGTATGATTCCACAGATACAACACTCCATACAACAGCAAGGAGTCCAACGAACCCATGCTCTCAGAAGACCAAACAGCAGTGACCGGGAGTATGGGTGGGCACCGAGATGGGAAGGAGCATGGAGCGGGTTTTCTGCGGGGGTGCTTGTTTTGTTTCTTCATCTGGGGGTTGGGACATGGGTGTCTGTCATTGCTGAACTGCACACTTGGTGACATCAGACTTCTCTATGCGAATTTTGTCTTTCAGTCAAGAGCAAAGCATGAAACCAGCTATGGTACTACCTGCCTGCAATCCTAGCCCTCAGGAGGATGAGGCAGGAGGATAGCAAGTTTGAGGCCAGCTCGGGCTATAGAGCATTACTCTGTCTTAGAACGAAGCAATGTACACAAGCAGATAAACAAGACATGCTACGTGTGTCCATACAATGTAACACTTGTCAAGAAATTAAGAAGGGCACTGGGCGAAATGGATCAGCAGTTAAAAGCACTTGTTCCAGATCCAAGTTTGGTTCCCAACAGCCTTCGTAGGCAGCTCATAGCCACTTCTAACTCCAGTTCCAAGGGAGTCCATGACTTCTTCTGGCCCCCACTGGTACCTGCGCATGTGGCAAACACACACACACACACAAATAAATAAAAATAGACTTTAAAAAAGAAGGCACTATAGGTATACGGAAGAGCATAGACGAAACTCAAACATTCAGAGTGAGCGAGACCAGACCACAGAAGAGCGCAGGCTGTGTGGCTCTGTTGACATAAAAGTCTGCGAAATGCGCACTGGTCTCCGAAATGCGCAGACCACCGAGAGGGGCCTGAGAATGGAAGGTGGAAGGACAGGAGACGTTGCCCAGGGACATGAAAAACGTGGGGGTGCCGGACACATTCCCTGCCTCGGTGGTAGTGACGGCTTTACGGCTTCGCTTATGTCAAAATCTTAATGACTGTCATGTTAAACATGTGTGTACCCTTTCCTGAATGCCAACTCTATCTCGGCAAAGTACATTTTAAAAACGAATGGATTTCAGGGCTGGAGAGATGGCTCAGCAGTTATGGCACTTCCTGCTCCCACACGGGTCCTGGGTGTGGCTCACAACCACCTCTAACTCCAGTTCCAGGGGATCAGATGCCCTCTCCTGACCTCCGAGAGCCCCTACACACAGGTGGTGCAGGTAAACTCATGCAGGCACACACAGACACAGAAAAATAAGCACTTTTTTTTTTTAAAAAAAAAGAATGGATTTCCAGTTCAAATACATACAACACACACATGCCCTCTGTGGCTCCCCCAAACTGTCCTCTCCTCTTCCCTGCATTTCACCTTGTCCTCAGCCTAGCGCACACCCTTTCCAGACCACAAGCCACGCCCATGGCCGCACTCACGTCTTCTCTTTCTGTCTGTTTCATTCCTTCATCGCCAGCAAAATGTAAACTCAGAATTCCTCAGAGAACAGAAAGCAATGATGGGGCAAAAAGGGAGGGAGGGAGGAAGAAGGGAGGGAAGGAGGGAGGGAGGGAGGGAGGGAGGGTGGGAGAGAAGGAAGAAGGGAGGGGTCAAAGTCCCATCATGTTGCAGAGAGCCTGCCCCCCAGGATGGGCAAAAGCCAGCTTCTTTCTTTAGTCACCGGCTCCCCACAAAGTACTTAACTTGCATTCTTACCACCACTCGCTCCTGCCTCCCATCCACCTCTCTCCCTACAAATGGAGCTCGCCCTCATCCCTCACCGCTCACTGCCAATCCACACTCCACCCGGAAGCTGGAAAATCTTCCAGGAACACCGCTCTGACCTGTCGTCATTTCGTCATTTCGTCATTTCGCAGGGTGGAATCGAGTCCCTAAAGAGTGACTTATGAGGCCTACTGCAACCCCCACCCATGGGGGCAAGCTCCAAGACTGTCAGGGTACAGAGCAAGACTCTGTCTCAAAAACAAAACAAAACAGAGCTGGAGACAAAGCCTCAGGCTAGTGCCTGGCACACAAGAGCACTCAACAAACATCACCAGTACTGGGAGATCCCCAGGGGCCCCAGGCACCTGTCACCCTGCTAGTCACATACAGATCTGTTCTCCTCATGAAGGGTGCATTCTTCCAAAGCAAGGGTTGTGGGGCTAGGTTTTGGATGCTCTGCCATTCCCAGCATCCCTGGGCATCCTCTGTTGCTGAGTGAGTGAATGGCCACCACCTACACCTCCTCACCGGCATTATTTGGAAGGAAACTGCGGACCCAGAATTAACAGCATCTCTTCTGCACCCATCATCCTTACCTCCAAATGCTCCTCTATTTCCCTAGATCTTCCTATGCTAGGAGTCCCCCCACTTTCCTGCCTTTCTCTCTCCCACTTCTCATTAATACCTAAAGTCCTCAGTGGTTTGTTCTGGTTCCACCTGACAGTGGGACCCTTTGCAGGGCAACCACTGTCTACTTCCTGCTGGGAGCATGCTCAGATATATCCAGGGCACAGAATCTAACTTGTTCCATGTTCCAGGCCCAGCCCACACACTACCACCTCCATACAGCCTCTTTAGATCCTCTCAGAAGCAAGAGACTGTTCCCTCTTCTACACAAACCCAGGCTTCTTCCCCACTCCCTGGCACACATGGGTGTGTGTCTGTGCATGTATGTGCACGTGTGCTTCTTCATGCTTCCCTGTGAGCTCTAGTGTGCACACTGCTCTATGTGTGTGATATGCCTGAGTGTGTATGCGTGTTCGTATATGTGTGAGTATGCATATGTGTTCAAGTGCACATACATGTGTCTGCAGGTGGAGGCTCAAGGTTGGCATTGTGTCTTCTTCAATGATTTATTCTCTCTCTTATAAATTGAGTCAGGATCTCTGACAGAGCCCAGAGCTTCGTGCTTTGCTAGTCTGGCTAACCAGTGTGCTCTGAGGATCTGCCTCCTGAGTGCTGGGATTACGAAGTCAACCGCACCACCCAGACTTAATGTGTGTTCTGGAAATCCAAACGCTGGTCTTCATGGTTGGGCAGTAAGTGTTTTTCCTGCTGAAATACCTTCCCAGTCTCAAACTCCTGGCTTTCTCAGTAATGGGTTCCTGTTCCTCAGAGTCCTGCAATGGTTGGAGATTACTATCCATTCCGTTTTAGTAGTCTATCTGCAGGGCTCCAAAGCCCTGGGCTGGTTCTGCTTGGTCAGAAGTTACTTACAGTGTACACTTACAGTGTAGACTATACCCATTGCTACACTGAGTGCTGGAGCCAGACCAGGGACATCACCGGTCCCCTGGTTTCACCCACCAGCCTGGGATGGTTTCATAAAAGAGAGGATGCCCAGTGGTAAGGTATGGGGTAGAGTTTGCCATAGGATGGAAAGAAATAGGCAGAAAAGTTTCAGGTCTGCCTATACCAAAGAAAGAGGTCAGAACAAGAGGCCAGTGGACGTTCCCTGTTGTCTAGAAAGAGAAAATAAAAGCAGAATATTCCAGAGTCCCTTGAATGTACGACCAACTGCTACCATGTGAGAATGGCAATGACTACCCCCTAACTGACCAGGCCACGTTCTCCATCTATCCAGAGTGAGAAGCATAGAACAGCTGGAGGGGAAGGGTGCTGGGGTTGGTGTGACAGGGACCATCAGGGACCATAAGGTCCTGGCCTTAATGTCTGAAGTTTTCCTAGTCAACAGAACTTCTGCAAGTCCAGAATATGAACTGAGCATCCAGCGGGTAGGGAGCTCTCTTTGAGAATCACTTGGACAGGGAAACTGCTGGACCAGGAAGCATCTATGTAACACAAATAAGACCAGTCACATCTGTAGTGGGTCACCTCTTCCCTACAGACGGGGGGAGACGTGATGGGAAGGGCCCAGAGAGCTCATCTGCCCTGCTGACCTCTGCCCTACTGACCTCTGCCCTGAGTCCTCCTAGGACTTCTCATCATTCCGATGTCTTGTCTGATGACCAGGCAGCCCCTCCTTCAGCCCTGCTTTCTGTCTGCAGCTGCAGAGACTGAGTGACAGGAAGCCTTAACCTGGGATCTCCAGGCTGTGAGCCCTCAGCCCGTCATGGCCACTCATGAGTGTCTAGTCACTAAAAGGATAGGGAAGTCCAAATGGAATTCTGGGGAATGGTTAGCTGATCTTAAAAGGAAAGACACAGGCTGGGGATATAGCATAGTCTTTGTGCTGCTCAAACCGGAGCGCCTAAGTTCAGATCCCTAAGCACCCACATAAAAGCCCAGCACAGCACCATGTAGTCCGGGCCTAGGGAGGTAAAGAAAAGCACATTCCTGGAGCTCACTGGCCAGCAGCCTAGATAAATCTAGTGAGCTTCAGGATCAGGGAGAGACCCTGTCTCTAAGGTGGAAAACCGACGGAAAACAGTGTTCGGCATCAACCTCTGGCGTCCACCTGCAAACATGTGCACCTGTATACACACACAGACATACACATGCACAAACACTTGCACGCACACATGTGCGCACATGTATACACAGCACCCACACACACGCACACACACATGTGCAAGCACTTGCACACACGTGCACATGTGTGCACCCACGTACATGCAAGCACACACACATGCACATACGCAAATGGGCACACTAAATTAAAAGGAAAGAGGCAGTGATTCCTAATTGCTGCTCTGTGTATGTCTGAAGTATTATCCTTTGTCTATGGAATACATAAACGCTATGCACTGCTCCCTATAAACGCACACATGGAACATGTAAATCCCTAGTTGGTGGCACTATCTGGAGCATTTCTGGAATTTTTCTCAGGTGGAGCCTCTTTGGAGGAAGCAGATCCCTGAGGGCTTGCGTTTGAAGGGTATAGCTGACCTACAACCGCTTTCCTGCTCTGCCTCTGCCTGTGTCCTATCTGCTGTGAGCTGAAAGGCCTCCTCTTTTACACACTTCCACTGTCCTGACGTTTTGTCCATGCACATAGGGCCAGCTCCTCACAGACCGGAATCCCCTGACAGCGTAGAGCTGTTCTCTCTGTTATTCTGGTCATGGTCATATAAGTGTGAGTAGCATGGCCGAATCTGTTGAGCTACCGAACCGACCAACCCCATGGTTTGACTTTCCATGCTGGACATTAGTAAGCCCTGGTCATTATCACAGGTGTTTGCGTCGGGAGTAAGGGCTAGGTGGTCAGAAACCACCCTCTGCCCAAATCAAACTAAAGGCAGGACCCGTGCGCTGCCACTGAGTGCCAGAGTTGATCTGCTTGTGTCCAGAGGGGCCAGCAGAGCTGCCAGGCAGAGAGAGCCTTAAAGTCATCACCGCAGGGGGGCAGGAAACAACAGACTGTCCAAAAGGAGACCTGCTGAGGTCCGCTTTCCAGGCCAGCCCACGTCAAAGCCACCTCCCATGGGTCCCTTACCATTCTTGTAAGCCAAGGCCTGGTCGATGAAGTCTGCGGCCCTTTCAAAGTAGGCGCTGAGGTTGAACTCCTGCGTGTCATTGGCCTTGATGCCCAAGTAGGTGATGCCGGAATCACTGTAAAAGTTGGCATTGGTGTTGACGTGCATGAAGGACCTGCCCTCGGCGGCATTCAGGACGTGGGTGATGCCCAATTTTTGCAGCTGGGAGATGTCCTGAGCTACAGACCTGGATGGGAGGCAGTGGCAGAAAATGAAGAGGCAGCCCCAGAAGAACCTGAGCCTCTTAGGCAAAGCAAGGAGACGGTATCCGCTGTCCCCTGTGGCTCCTCCTGCCCCATCTCATGACCTCTCCCCTCACCCCAGCCATATCCAGTTACCAGCAGCTTCCCCAAATAGACTTGTGGTTCCGTGCCCGTGCTGTTTCCTCTGCTACCTCCATGTAGGCATCACTTCTGTGGGATGTCCCCAGCTCCTTCCAGTGTGTGCCATCACAGTGCCTATACTGTGATGGTGGCACAGAGAAGCTACAGAGTCAGGCACGGTAGCACACGCCTGTGATCCTGCACTCAGGAAGCCGCGGGAGATGGATCATGAGATTGATGCTAGCCCAGGTTCAAGCAACAAAACAAAAGAAATATAGACCCTGGAGTCAGAGTGCCTGGGTCTACATCCAGCCCTGCCATTTACCAGCCAGGCAACCTTAAGGAAGCCACTTAACCTTTCTGTGCCTCAGTTTTCCTTTCTGTAAAATGGGGTTATTGGTGCCAACTTGGGGTAACCCTGGGTGTTAAAGGAGGCTGTTCTGTTGACAGCTTGGCTTGGGGGTGGGGGTTATATCCCATGGCAGGGTCATGCTTATCTGTTCAGAGCTTCAGTCTGTGAGTTCCTTGAGTGGTCTGTCCCCTGAGTACCTGCTACAGTGCCTGATGCATGGCACTGTATGCCAATGTGTGGTGACTGAAGAATGGAACTGGCACAGGCCAGGCACCCTGAAGGATCCATCCTGCCATTCTCTCCTAGCAACATCTGGGACTCTCTGGACCGTCTTAGCACTTAAGGAGCAAGTGCTCCCCCCGCTCCAGGATGAGCATTAGAAGGTATCCTGACGGAATGGTCAACCAGGTCCTTCACTTCCTCTCACAATGTCCCAGTTTAAACAGGAGTTCACACTTTTACAAAGCAGTGTCTCTCGCATGCTCCTGGCTGCCTGTTATGGCGGCCGGAAAGACAGAACAGCACTGTCCCCAGTGAACAGAGCTGAAAAACTGCAGGACAGGACTGGCGGCGGATGCTCACATGGGCTGCTGAGTCAGAGCTGAGAGGCATGTCTCCAGACATCCAGCCATGCTCGGCCTCCTACCTCCCTCTGCCCCTCACGCCCCCACCACCTATAAAACCGAGATCAGAATGCAGCTCAACACTGACTCCCTCACTGCCCTGACAGGCTGTGGCTGAAGCTCTTTAATCCTGGAGCTTGGGGAGGGGAGCGCGGAGAGGAGGAGAGGAAGCCCAGTGCACAGCACTAGGAACTCAGTTGATCCTCGTGGCTGAGCGGGAGCACCCCCACATCAAGGTCATATTTGCATAGAGGGCAAAGAATGTATGTTCCAAGGCAGCCAGCACATCTGCCACTATGACTACTGCCAGCCTAGAGAAGTCACTACAGACAATTGCAACAGACTGTCCCCCGGGAAGCAGGCTCCTGAGACTGTCAAGATCCCTGGCAACTTGGGTAGCTGGTGTAGGGAGGGGTGGGAGGGGTTGGGAGGGGTTCCCTAGGACTTTGCAGTGACTGAGCCTGAAGACTGACCCTGTGAGTCCGTTTAGCCGCTCCCCTTCAGAACACTGAGCGAGACTGCACAACTGTGCTGAGTCGATAAGCTATTCTCACCACCACCATTACTAGTGAATGACCATCACGTGGTGTGTGGCACACAGTAGGTGCGCCATAAGTAAATGAGTGATACAAAGCATGAAACCTGTCCCCAAGAGTCTGGGACCTGCCATGTAAACCCCCCTCTGGTTCCACTGCACGTTAAACAGCAGGTCCTAGGGTCAGGACAAGAAACACACTTGGAAAACACTGAAAAGTCCTCCCAACTCTTCAACCGCCTCTGGCCACCCCTCATACTGTGTGAAAATGAGAGAAAAGCTTGCTTAGCAGTTTTGAAGTGAAGTCCTTGAAATGGACCCACAGAGAGCTGCTTTGATAAACGGGTCTTCACTCGTGAAAATTCAATGTGGACCTCCCCCCAACATGGGTCACGCCAGCCTTTCTTTCCGTGTTAACAATGATTCTCTCTCACTGTTGAGAAATCCTCACTAATAATAGTATGGCTAAAATATAAATTTTCTTAAAGGACGCATAAGAGATCAATAATATGCACATTTCCTGGCGGGTACGATTAGAAGGAATTTTCAGATGGCTCAGGTCTTCTATGGAGTTTAACATATCCCATCTAAGTCAAACCCTATCTGGAGAAGCCAGAAAAGCCGTGGCTCAGCTACTTCCTCTTTTAGGGTATTTTAGGGTATTTTGATTTCCTGAAGCGGACAGGAAAAGTTCCACACCCGGATTGTAACGTCATCCCGTTGCCATGGCAACGAAGGCAGACATTCCACGGTGACCTCACTGCAGAACTAGGCAGCTGTCACATGACGCGCGGCCAAGAGACAGCCCTGCCACCTGTTAAGAGAACGTGGTAGCCTCGACCCCGTCTAAGCCAAAGTCAGGGCGGGCGGTGGCCGAGGGCAGGGCCCGGGCACATTCGGGTCTCAGGGGATGCGGGGTCCAGCTCCTCGGCTTCTCGCACGGGGAGTGGATGTCTGTTCCAGCCCGGTCCCCAGCCTCCGCTCTAGCCCACAGGTCGGCGACCGCGCCCAGGTTTCCCCCGCCCCCATCCACGCCCTTGGACCCCACTCCAGCCCCCGAGTAGGCGGGGCGCCCGGGGAGCGGCTGCGGAGTCAGCCCTCCCGGAGACTCACGCGTTGCCCACGTAGACCCTCGGGATGACCTCGTTGCAGGGCTGGCTCGGAAGGCTGTAGCAGCCGCTGCCGTCTGAGAGCAGGTCGTTGAGATCTTGCACCGAGAGTTCGAACGAGCCGGACATGGCGGCTGCGGGGCCCTGCACGCCGGGGCAGGAGCGAGCCAGGGGGAGAAGCCGGGTCAGTGGGGCGGGGCTGCCTAAAAAACCGCCCCGTCCCGCCCCGGAGGCGGGCCCGCCGGGTGCAGGAAGCTGCGGGCGCCGCGCGGCTTGGCGCTGCGCAGAGGACACGCGCGACCGGCCCACGCGCCGTAGGACCCTGGGGCGCGTCCCTGACCGAAATGTCGTCACTCCCGTGTCGCCGGTCCTCTATCTCCCTGGCTAACGCAGGGGAGCGCAGGCCCTTCCCTTACTGAACCCGACGCGGGGCGCCTTGGGTACACCTGGTGTAGCTCTTTCGGGATAACGGGGTCCCCTGGGGTTTGCTGTGAACCCTTCTGGCTGCAGACCAGCAGTGTTGGCATCCATTCCCTCACCTCAAACAGACACGTGAGAAACACCTTCGCAACACATTCCTGCGGAACCTCCCCCCTCACCCCCAAGGTCACAGGGAGGAGCCCAACGCTGGGGACACTTCTTCCGTGTTCGTTAGAAAGCAGCATTGAACTGGGGCTATAGGTCGCCACCAGGTTTGGCCTCTGATCCTGGGGGATTGCTTAATCTTTAGCTGGCTAGTGAAAAGGAGGGGGGAGGGGCGGGGGTTACAGCGTCATAATAGTTTGAGCTGCTATGATTTTAGAGAACCGAAGTCTTTACAAATCTGTAACTTTAGAGTATAAACACAATGCAAATGGAAAATTCTTACACCTGACCAGTGATGGATGCCAGTCAAAACACAGGTGCACTAAAAATTACTGTACAAAATTGTATTCAGGATAGGTTTATGTGTGAAGCATTAATGAATTTCCTGTTTAGACTTGGATTCATTCCCTAAATACCTCATTATATTTATTAAAATAATCTAAAATCCTAAACGCTTCTGTCCTGAGCACGGAAGTAAAGAATATGCAATACCTAACTTGTAAGGATTGCTAGAAAGATTCCAGAAGCATTCAAGGGGCCCAGGAGGTTCCTGGATTGTTAAAAGGAACCGAGCACACATAAAGCCCTACTTTAGTTCCCTGCACTGAATAAACAGGCAAAGCGGCACCAGAACCGCTTAAAATCTCTGAATGTTGTGAGCGCTCACTGGGTCTGCGCCCTGATCTAGTGCACTCTGGGTTGGTGTGGAGGTAAATCGTTCTCCACTCCCTCCATGACAGATCTTCCTGGAGCAGCTGCTATCTCACCGTGAGCCACGTGGTGTCAGTAGCTGATCCTCTCTTGGGTTTCCACGGAGGGCAAAGGGCTCAGAAGCTTACTTCAAAGCGTTTCTCAGTTGCCATGGTAAATGGCAGAGTCCCTAACTCCAAAGCGGTAAATACAGTGTCTGGAATCCAGGAATCCACACTCTTGAGTCCGACTCTGCCACTTACTAAGGTTTGTCTTATGTTTTTTGGTTTTTATTTCACACTTAAGTTTTTGAGACAGGGTCTCACGTAGCCCAGGCTGGCTTTGAATTTTCTATATAACCAAGGATAACTCTGAATTTGATCCTCCTGCCCTCACTTCTCGGAGTGCTAGGATTACAAACGTTTGCCACAGCACCCGGTTACACGGACTCAGATCGTCAATGTTTCATTCCCGAGGAGAGCTTCTATTCTCACAGCTTCAGGGAAACATAGCTCAAAGGGCACCATGAGGGCTGGAATTCCTGGGTGCCTGCCTGTGCTAGCCAGGGACCTCCACACCCACCACAGGTTTCCTTCCCCCTCTAGCCTTGCAACATCAACTTTTCAGGCAGGTGGGGAGCTACCAAGCCTGCTTTCCTTAATCTTGACGTGACCTGACTGAGCCCAAAACCGAAAGCCCAGCACAAAACTTAGGGGAGAGAGAGGTGCTACTTACCCTAATCCAATCATAACACAGGGCATGTAAGTACCGGATCATTCCACACCCCATCAACATATAGAAATTTTATATCAACTTAAAGTTAAGAAAAAAATAGGTGCTCAGAGACAGCCAGGCATGTTCTTCTCCTGCTCCTCCATTGAGTCTTGTCCCTGATGTCATAACTGGATAACTATGACACCCCGTCATAGGAACAGCTAAGTGCCTCACAGAGCAGTCAGAGCGTCTCATTTCTAAAGTGAGACTAGGAGGAAAAGATGAACAATTCCCTGGATTACCTGGCCTACCCTGTTATCGTCTCTAATCACAGGCAAAGTACAACCTTCAGGAAGAAACTGGACTTTGGCCACTACCTATTGCACAAGAATAGAGTACAAATAGGTATGTGGGCAGCTGGGGCTGGGCACCGCTGTTGGAGGTTCTAGAAGGATCCACCATAGAGGTAGTGACAGGAGACTTCACCAGTCCTGGTCTTACCTGCCTGAGTTTGGCCAAGAGGATATCGTGATCAGGGACAGACTTTATCTTCTACCTGAGCGTCCCCGTGCTGGAAAGAATCCTTTTTTAAACACTTTAGAGCCAAAGATAGAGAATGTGAGTGCAGTGCCCAATAGACCGTCTAGTAATGTTGGGAAGGTCTGGAAAAGACGCCATTTTATTGGACTGAAAGGAATTTTATCTCTAGGAATTTTGAGACAGACTCCCTGTAGCCAAGGTTGGCCAGGAGCTCACTGGCTGAGGGTCAAGGATGACCTTGAGCTCCTGGTGGTCGTGCCCCCACCTCTGGAATGCTGGGGTTTCAGACCTGCATGTCACCACTTTGGATTAGACAGGGGTATCAACCCCAGGGTCTCCGGTGAGCTGAGCCCCTGGCACTCTTGTTGACTGAACGGCTTCCCTGCCGTCTTTACGGATTTAACAGCCCTCACTGCTCAGCCGGCTCAGTTCAAATTCTCCAGAGATGTCAGATGGGAAAATCAAGTCTCACTGAAGTTGCTATCAGGATTCAAAAGCAGAATGTTCAGTGGTTGGGGTCGCGTGGCCTGGTGGTTTTCTAAAGCCTCACTCTAATGATGTTCTTTGTCCTCCAGTGAAGCCGACTGTTGATACCAAACCTCCAATGGCGCACACACATCACATTCTAAAACTGAGCAAACTCCAGGTATTTTACTGCATTTTTAAAAAAATCTTTGTTCTAAAGAGACCCAATTCCCCAGTACCTTCTAAATATCCACCAAACTAAAGTCATTAACATTCCTCCCCTGATATTCACCAGCAGTTTCCCTAAGCTCCACCAGGGCTCTACCAGGGCTCTCGGTGTGCCCCCTTTTTCTCAAAGTCCCAGCGGAAGGTGCTGCAAGCCACACTGTGTGGAGGCAGCACAGTGGTGATGTCACCATGGGGGGGTTTCTTGCCAGGGAGAACAAAAGAGAATCGACAAAATCGAATACGAAAATAAACAACTGTGTCAGAAAATTGCCAACGCCCATCGCGGCCCTGCCAAGTTGGACTGCTGGAATGAGTATCTTTCGAAAAGGTAGTGTTCGTTCTCTCTCTCTCTCTCTCTCTCTCTCTCTCTCTCTCCATTTCATTTCAGGAAAGCCAACCTTCCCTTTGGGCTTGAGAGAGACAGGATTACTCAAAGGACATTATGGAGAGAAGCAAGAGACAAAACTATCAAGATTGACAGCTTCCCAAGCAGGGGGTTAAATCCCACCTTTGCTGTCATTTAAGAGAGTTCCCCTAGCTCTCTTCAGAGCTTGTCCCAAGCACACACTTGTGTACCTTTGCAGAATGCCCACGTGTCGTGGTGGTTCTGGTGCAAGACAGTGAGCAACAGTACTTTTTTTTATTGATATTTATTGAGCTCTACATTTTTCTCTGCTTTCCTCCCTGCCTCTCCCCTCCCCCTTCAACACCCCCCCCCCAAGGTCCCCATGCTCCCAATTTACTCAGGAGATCTTGTCTTTTTCAACTTTCTACTTCCCATGTAGATTAGATCTATGTAAGTCTCTTAGTGTCCTCATTGTTGTCTAAGTTCTCTGGGATTGTGGTTTGTAGGCTGGCTTTCTTTGCTTTATGTTTTAAAACCACCTATGAGTAAGTACATGTGATAATTGTCTTTCTGTGTCTGGGTTACCTCACTTAAAATAATGTTTTCTAGCTCCATTCCTTTTCCTGCAATATTCAAGATGTCGTTTTTCTTTTTTTTTCTGCTGTGTAGTATTCCATTGTGCAAATGTACCACATTTTCCTTATCCATTCTTTGGTCGAGGGGCATTTAGGTTGTTTCCAGGTTCTGGCTATGACAAACAAAGCTGCTATGAACATAGTTGAGCACGTGTCCTTGTGGCACGATTGAGCATCCTTTGGATATATACCCAAAAGTGGTATTACTGGGTCTTGAGGAAGGTTGTTTCCTAATTTTCTGAGAAATCGCCACATTGACATCCAAAGGGGTTGTACCAGCTTGCATTCCCACCAGCAATGCAGAAGTGTTCCCTTTCCCCCACAACCTCTCCAGCATAAGTTGTTAACAGTGTTTTTGATCTTGGCCATTCTTACAGGTGTAAAATGGAATCTCAGAGTTGTTTTGATTTGTATTTCTCTGATAACTAAGGATATTGAACATTTTTTTAAAGTGTTTTTCAGCCATTTTAGATTCCTCTGTTGAGAGTTCTCTGTTTAGGTCTGTACTCCATTTTTTTTATTGGATTATGTGTTCTTTTGGTGTCCAATTTCTTGAATTCTTTGTATATTTTGGAGATCAGACCTCTGTCTGATGTGGGGTTAGTGAAGATCTTTCCCCATTGTGTAGGTTGTTGTTTTGTCTTGTTGACCATGTCCTTTGCTTTACAGAAGCTTTTCAGTTTCAGGAGGTCCCATTTATTGTTTCTCTCAGTGTCTGTGCTGCTGGGGTTATATTTAGGAAGTGGTTCCCTGTGCCAATGTGTTCAAGTGTACTTCCCACTTTCTCTTCTATAAGGTTCATGTGGCTGACTTTATGTTGAGGTCTTTGATCCATTTGGACTTGAGTTTTGTGCATGGTGATAGATAAGGGTCTATTTTCGTTCTTCTACATGTTGATATCCAGTTATGCCAGCACCACTTGTTAAATATGCTTTCTTTTTTTCCATTTAATATTTTTTTGCTTCCTTGTCAAAGATTAGGTGTTCGAAGATGTGTGGATTGATATCCGGGTCTTCTATTTGGTTCCATTGGTCTTTCTATCTGTTTTTATGCCAGTACCAGGCTGTTTTCAGTACTATAGCTCTGTAGTAGAGTTTGAAGTCAGGGATTGTGATGCCTCCAGAAGTTCTTTTATTGTACAGAATTGTTTTGGCTATCCTGGGTTTTTTGCTTTTCCATATGAAGTTGAGTACTGTTCTTTTGAGGTCTTTGAAGAATTTTGCTGAGATTTTGCTGGGCATTGTGTTGAAGAGCAACAATTTCTTTCTTAGTTCTGGAGGCTGGGGAATCCAGATATACAGGGAGGCACCAGTGGATTCTGGGTTGGCCTTGGTGTGGGGGCTGCTTGTGTTCCAAAGAGACAGCCATTTTCACACTGGAACCTCATGGCAGGGGGACAGGAGTTCTCTCCCCCAACTTCCTTTATGAGGGTGCTAATCCCATCCCCCAAACCTCACCTTGAGAGTTAGTGGTCAGGCATATGGGTTTGGCGGATCCACAAACATTCAGATTTAGCATCATAACCCGGACAATGCTATGACCCTCCAGCAATCAGTTCCACGAAAATCCTTCACCAAATACTGCATGCTAGGTATCTCCGGCCATAGACGAAATGAGGAACATTATTTCTCAACCCCAAACACTTGCAATCTAAGATGTAACATTTGTAAAACCCCTACTAAAGCAGTGTGAGAAGGACGAGGAAAGTGCACTCCAGGGAATGGTCGCATATATGTATAGAGGGAGGAGGGGAAGAGAGAATTCCTCTGTCTACCAAGAGATCACAAACAAAGCTGAAAGTCAAGGAAAGGGAGATGAACCAAACCTTGACTCCAGGCACGTATGCCTTATCCACAGGAAGCCTTCCTCCCTTAGATAAACCACATTTCCAATCCTGGTTTCACAGTACAAACCTTGGGAGATGTTTACAGCATACTGAGGTCATGAGCATTTTGTCAGAAACATAGATGAACACATGTGTGTCTTTCCACATGTCCAGACTTAGCAAATAATGGTAAACTCACAAGTCCTGAGCTATTGTTGCCAGCGGTTTGTCACATACTGCCACGCTGTTTTTGAATCACAGGGGTTCTTTAGTCCTATCTTAATTACTATATTAGCTCTCAGATTACACATTACACGCCCATATAGCAAATGTCTTTTTACGCACGTATATGTGTAGGATGCATAATGATGACCAAAATTTAAAGAAAGTCATTCACATATTTTAAAGAGGCCCGAGAGGCCAAAGCTGGGAAACTGATAAAGACTCTGTCGCTGTGTTGACATAACCAAGATGGAGGTCTTGGAGAGTCTGCTGGGACTGTGGGCAGAAGAATCGGGTAGCAGGGTCAGGTTGAGCGATAGAGTTGAGTCCAGCTTCTGAGGCAAAAATGTCAGACCCGACCTAGGTAAACAAATGGGTGGACAGGAAAAGCAGAGGTCAGTTCAAGTATCGACAGAGGGGACTGAGCTGTCCTGAAGCCCCTAGGATAGTCAGTTCGCAGCTTGTCCCTTGACCCACATACTGTGACCATCAGCATCTAAGACAAGCCGCCGTCTTCTTTCTGGGGTCTAGGTGAGAGAGCTACACCCTTTCCTCAGACTGGCTCTTGAGCCCTGGGTTTCTCTTAAGGTTTTAATGCCCCCATGTGTGCCTACCATTCCAGTTCACCTCTATAGATGGATAGGATGGGAGCCTCTCCACCCCAGAATAAGTAGATTAGTAGTGACTTGTGGGTGGCACTGGGCAAATGGTGCTGTTCAAATGTCCTCCCAGGTGCAGCCTCCTCTTCTAGCCTCAAAATAGCGTCCAAAGCTGCCAGGGAAGTGGACTCTCTCAGGGCAAGGCCCAGAGTGAAAACAAGTGTCTTATGCAACATGGAGTCATTGAGAGTTGGAGCTTAGTCTAGCTCCAACACTGAGATCTGAGCTCTATCCCACATCAACATTACTCTCCCAGCAGGCAGTGGGGCTGAGGCTACCGACAGACACCTGCAAATGCTTCGTGTATTTACCAGAGCGCACTGTCCCAGACTTGAGAAATGCTTTCTTCTTCAGCCACCCTGGTTTTGTGTTTTTCAGCTTAAACAGAGAAGCAAGGAACCGAGAGCTAGTGAAAATCACCATGGAAAACCAGGGCATCCTAAAGAGGCTGGGCGACCGCAAACCCCACTATGACCGCAGGGCATCGGAGGTGGACTGGCAGGCACGTGGCCACTCTTGTCATAGTTCCAGGTGTACCTGAAGTTAGGCTATGCTCAGCGTAGAGACTAACCCCTAAGCAGCTCGGTCGCGTGAAAGGCATCAGTCACTCAAAGGAAAATCCACACGGCAAGCATAGCTCACAAACGATGGGATGCCCAAAGGCACCTTGGTGATAAAGCTACTGAGTCAATTTCAGAAAATACTGGGCAGTGCCCTGTACCCCAAATTCATAAGAAAGGCTGAATGTATAAATATGAGGGAGGGCAATGTGATCCTATATGTGATCAATCGGTCCCATTTAGAATGCGTCTTCAAAGGTAAAGCAGGGAGACTTGGTCCAGAGGCTGAGGCAGGGGGATGACTCAGTTGAGAACAGACAGCCTGAACTACAAATGAGCAGTGAAGTAAAGCTCAGGGGGACCATGGGCAGTGTTTTAAAAACCCCCTCTCCCTACCTTTTCTAAGCCACTCTTAGGATTTAGAATTTCAACTCTCACACCCGCATGCCCACGTTGACAAGCCTTTCTGACTTTTTTTCCTTCAAGAATTCAAGGCGCTATATCAGAAACACAACAAGATATCTTCTCCCCCACGAAGAATAGGTATGTCATTTTTATAATAGCGCTTCATTACCGAAGCCCCGGCAGCTCCACGAATAGCCGTCGAGGGCTCAGCTCGGGAGGAGATGAAGAGCCATTCAAGGAGCTCAGAGCTCTGACTTTTCTGGGAATGGTGCTTTTGTATCACCAGCTTTGAGGCTTTATGGGAGTCTAAAGGGAGTGATGTGTGCCACTAAGACATTGCCAGGCGAGGGCAAGATGGCTGAGCAGGTAAAGGCATGAGCCTGAAGGCCTGAGTGTCATCTCCAGAGCCCATGTAAAGGTGGAAGGCGAGAACCCACTCCACAAAAGCTGTCCTCTGACCCCCCGTATATGTGCTGTGGCACATGAGCCCCACCCCCGTGGTGATAATTTTTAAAATATTTTAAATGTAAACAAATTAACAAGAAGCCTAGGCTTGAAAGCAAGGTCTAAGGTCCACGACTAGTAAAAGGCACAGCTATTTGAGCATCTTATTAGATACGGTTAGTAACACACTCTGGGCCTTCAAGGAAGGAAGAGACGTGGGTACCCAGGCTCTCCAAAGAACAGTGCTACTGTTAATATCCACCCCCTTTTCCTCCTCTGCTTCCTTCCCCCCACCCTTGCTCTAGACACAAGGTTACTCACCATGGAAAAGACACAGAGAAGACCCAGGATTTCTTGGCTGCTTAGAATCTCAAGACACTCCAGAGTGACCGCATGTTCCATCTTAGAATGTTCCAATAAAGCTTGGCACATGAAACAGGGCATGCAAACGGAAGGACGTGATGAACCTTTTATTCGTATTCTGCACACACACACCTGAGTGTTCATATGCGGATATTTGTGTGAGTGTGTGTGTGTGTGTGTGTGTGAGAGAGAGAGTGAGAGAGAGAGAGAGGGAGGGAGGGAGGGGGGGGGGGGGGGGGGGAGGGAGGAGAGACCGGTGTGTGAAGAACTAGTCTGACCGACATTCGGTTTCTCCCTTGATCACTTGTTTTTGAGACAGCATCTCTCACTGACCCCAGAGCTCATTGATTAAGCTAGGAGAGTCGGCCCCTGAGCTCCAGAGATCTATCTGCCTGTCTCTGTGCCCCCCCCCACACCTGGCTTTTATGTGGATGCTAAAGACTCAAACATGGGTCCTCAGCTTATGCTATAAACACTTTATTAACTGAGTCATCTCCTCAGGTCCTAATTTGTATTTTTGTTTGTTTGTTTGGGGTTTTTGTTTGTTTGTGTTTGTTTATTTTTCAAGACATGGTTTCTCTGTATCTTTGGAACCTGTCCTGGAACTCGCTCTGTAGACCAGACTGGCCTCAAACTCACAGAGATCCACCTGCCTCTGCCTCCCAAGTGCTGGGATTAAAGGTGTGCATGTGTTTATATATGGCCTTGAATTTGCAGACTAGCCAAGGATAATCTTACATTCATGATCCTCCTTCCTTCACTTCCCCAATGCTGGGATTACAGGCATGAGCCACCCTGCTGGGCTTATACTGCACTGGGCACCAAACCCAGGGCTTCATGCTTGCGAGGCAAGCACTCTACTAACTCAATTATACCCCAGTTCCCTCTTCCCATTAAGTTTCATGCTTGTCCTTTCTGGCTGAAAAATCTGGCCCTTTCTCTTTGTTTAAATGCCTATTTCCAACACTCGAGAGAGCCCATCCCCTTACAGAGACTTCTATGGCCTATCTTGGTTGTATTAGGCACTGGCTCAAATGTTTGGAAGTTTTCTTTCTATTGTGGTGTTAACTGATCTTTAGTTTGATTGCACTAAACCCAGAGAACAGATCCTATGACTTCAATTCTTTTTTTTTTTTTTTGACAGAGTTTCTCTGTGTAACAGCTTTGGCTGTCCTAGATAGAACTAGCTCTTATAGCCCAGGTTGGCCTCGAATTCACAGAGATCCTTCTGCCTCTGCCTCCTGAGTGCTGGGATTAAAGGCGTGTGCCAGAACCTGGCCCTCTCTACTTCTTAAATGATGTATGTGTGTTGAGGGCAGAGGGCAATCTGTGTCAGAGCTCACTTCCCACCTTGTTTGAGGCAGGACAGGATCTCTGTGCTGTTGGCTGTTGTTGGCTCCCGACTAACCTACCCTTGAGCCGCTGGGAATTCTCTGGTCTCTGCCTACCAGTGGATGGGAGTTACAGACACAGGCTACCATGCCAACCCTATTTGGGATCTGGGAATTTGAACTCAGGTCTTCAAACTTGCATGGCAAGTACGTTAACCACTGAGCCATCTTCTCGGTCCCCCCTCCCTCCTTTTGAAATACAAGTGATTCCTGCAGAAGTATCCAGCACCACGTAAGATGGTGATTACTTTTGTTTTGCCCAGCAGCGAGGGTAAAGAAACTGAAAAGGTATGAGTCTGTTCTAGTTCCTTCTGTGTGGCTGGTTCATCCCTCTGGGAAGTCCCGCCCCTTCCCTGGTTCATTTCTTTGTCTAGAGCTGCCTTTGGGGTAGGTCTCCAGTTTGGATTGTTCCTCCGAGAGCACCGACAATCCCCCTCATTCCTAAGATAGTCTCTTGGAACGCAGGCTTCAACACTAATAGTTCTTTGTCCTCGGAGCGTGACGTGTTTGCCACCTCTTCACAGTGTAAAAATAGAACCTGAATTCTTTTCCTTCCTGGCTATTTTTACTGTTTTCAAGGTTGGTCTTCTTCCCCCTTAATCTTCAGTTTCTAGGAGATTAAACAGGATGTGTGCAAGTTCGTGTCCACTGGTAGGCAGAGACGAGAGAATTCCCAGCGGCTCAAGGGTAGGTTAGTCTGGTGCACACAACAGCCAACAACAGAGAGATCCTGTCTCAACAAGGTGGGAAGCGAGGTCTGCCGCTGAGATTGCCCTCTGCCATCGACACACACATACTCATACTGAAATTTGATTTGATCCACTTCTTTAACTTAGGCTGTCTTTTTCCAGATTTTGGGGAAGAAGGGGTGTCAGCTCAGCTGCTGTTTCCCTGAATATATTACTTCCATGACCCTTATGTCATCTGCTCAGACTCTGATAGTATAAATATACTTTTGAGTTCATCCAAGTTTTAAGTTTTATTTTTTGCTTCCATAATTAAAAAAATTGTGTGTGTCCGTTTCTGTGTACAATCTGAGGGCACGTACCATGGCATAAGTGTGGGGGTCAGAGGATGTCCTTGTGGAGTCAGGGTCTCTCCTGACATCTTTACTTGGATTCCAGGAACGGAACTAAGACTACTGGGCTCTGGAGGTAAATGCCTCTACCCGCCGAGCCATATTACCTCCTTATTTCCGCGACTTTCGATGTGTTCTCTTTTAGGTCTGTGTCATCACTCAGGTTTGCCATTTTCTTTTTCGTTTGGGGGGAACTAATTATTGATGTCACTGTGCACCGCGTTGGCGTATCTGCAAGTTGAGTGTCTCCTTGTTTAGGACGTGGCTTTCCTGGTTGGAGTGTGACTGGCTGATGCTGCTGCATTCTGAACATCTAGGTAACTTAGGATCCAATTCCAATATTCTGTCTTGGTCGTGGTCATCCTGCTTAGGCAGTGCTGAGGATCTGGCCTTCTCTTGTGGGCTTAAGTTCCAAAGTGACAGCTTTGCAATGGTGTTCTGTTTGCTTCCTTCTCCAGGGCTCCAGGGCTCCTGCCTGGGCCCCCGGGGTGTCTTCTGATGGGCTGAAAGGGCTTCTGTGGGCTGTGTGGTGACACTATTGAGGGCAAGCAGACACTGCGTGTCTCGAGTCTCTGTGTCACTGGGAGGAGGGCACCAAGGCACAGGGCTGCTGTCACTGCCGCTAATGAACTGGAACAACTCCTGCTGCCCGTGTGAAGTGAATGTCGGGAACTCTAACGTACTTCTCTTTCTTCACCTGGGAAGCTAGCGATTCTTATTTTCTCATTTATTTTTTTGTCTTTGCCCGAGATTGGTTCCGTGTGAGGCCTCTCGATAGCCTGGTCTCCAGGCTATGAGGGACACAGAAGCAAGTGCAGGGGACCCACCACATTGCCAGAGACCCCAACTCTGTTCCTAGGCAGCGTTTATGGTGCTCAGACTTCCTTTATGCAGGGTGTTTAATTGTATTTAGAGGAGGAAATAAAAATGAAAATGATTCCACACCACTGTGTCCTGAAACCACTGGCCTAACTCAAAAGGAAGAGCTGGTTAGAGAAACGGAGGAGGAAGTGGATGAATCCGTCAAACAAATGCAGTTGATCGGTTCTTAACTGTCTGATCCCAAAATGTGATGCGGGAGAATTGTCTGTATTCTGTCAATCATATCTTAATAAAACGCTGATTGGCCAGGCAGGCAGTATAGGTGGGAAAACCAGACAGGAAGTAGAGGTGATGCAATAAGAACAGGAGAATTCTGGGAAGCAGGGAGGTTCCTCAGCCACTCCTGTGCAGACCACTGGAGAGGAAACATGTAAGCTGCCCAGCTGGAAAAGGTACTGAGCCATTATGGCTAACATAGATAATGATAATGGATTAATATAAGTTACAAGGACCAATAATAAGCCTGACCTATTGGGCCAATCAGCTTTATAACTTATAGAGTTCTCTGTGTGATTGATTTTCCTTGGGACTTGCCGGCTGTTGGGTACTGGGTGGGACAGAAACCCCAACAAGCCGGCCCTCATGTTACAAAAATGGACTTTATATGTAAGCTCAAGTCTGTAATTGTGGGGGCTGGAGAGATGGCTCAGAGGTTCGGACCGCTGCCTGCTCTTCCAGAGGTCCTGAGTTCAATTCCCAGCAACCACATGGTGGCTCACAACCATCTGTAATGAAATCTGGTGCCCTCTTCTGGTCTGGTGGCATACATGCAGACAGAACACTGTATACATAATAAATAAATATAAATAAATAAATCTTTTTTTAAAAAGTCTGTAATTGTTAAATACAATTACAAGCTGTCATTATTATACCTGTATTCCCTCTATTTGGGAGGCGTGGGTGGGAGGAACCTGAATTCAAGGCCACTTTGGGTGAGGCCAGCCTACTGAGATCCATCTCAAAAAAGATCTGGAGAGATGATTCAAAAGTTAAGAGCACTGGCTGCTCCTCCAGAGACCCAAATTCGATTCCCAGAACCCACATGGTACATAGACATATGTGAAGGCAAAACACACGCACACCACCGCACACACAAAGCCTGATCCTGTGACTGGTGGCACAGATGGCCGGTGTGACACCAGGTAAGTCTGTACACAGCTGAACTCCCCACATGCTGGAAAGCACTGGGGAGATACATGAATAGCAAAAGCACTACTGGCTGAGGCTAAGCACATCTGAGTGGTGACTGGCAGGGGTTATAACCTCAAATCTCTCTTTTGCAAGGAACGGGCTGGGAGACAGGGAAGATTACTACATCACTGGATCAAGGATGCCATGCACTGATGCTAAATACCATGTGGAAAGAGCCCAAGGCAGACGAGTTCTGTAATCGATAAGTGATGTCTGCCACGGGGGCAGAATGGGCAGGGGCAACACATACAGGATCCCATAACATTACCGTGAAAAGTCCTCTAGAGTGCACATTCTCTGTAGCTGTAGACACAGACCAAGGACTGAACTGTGTTTAAAGGCCCCAGGAATGAGACAGTGTTTCTCGGGAAGCACAGAGCTGTATTGTACAAGTCAGGAGTGAGGAACTTTTGCCAACCCTTTGTGGGGTGGGGGCTCAGAACACACATACTGTGGGTTGAATTGGATTTGGGTTTACACACACTCCACCAATACATATTTGCAAACCGGTACATTTATTTTTTGTAACAACATTCTCTGCTTTGATAAACGGCAATAACACATCTTCCGGATGACACCTGTCCCCAGAGTCCTATCCTCGCTGCTCCCACGGATCTCATAGCAGACAAAGAGCTATGAACATAACTCGTCCTGGGAGAAGGGAAGACACTTTAATTGCAAATAAATCAAGCCCACTTTCATACCTTACCTCATAATCCACACTGGGTTACTACCACCTCATCTGAGAATTGGCTAAAACTAAGGAGCAAGCAAAAAATGACTCTTTAGTATGACATGCATTTTTTTTCTTTAAATAAGTCCCCAGGTGCCCAAGTCACTCACATCGGGCTTCCTGTAACCAGGTAAGGTCGCCACCATGCTGCAGATGTGAGATGGCCAGGAATGAGCTCTTCCTACAATGTCATCTCCCTGGGAGTGGACTTAAGATCCCAGTTCTCCATCACCCTTCGCTGAACCTCCCCTTGCCACGCCTGGATTTCTGGGAAATAGTTAAGTCGCTGCCATTTCACTGGCTACAAATCCAGTAAGAAGGACCGGCCCTTCGGCTGGGAAGTCCTACAAATTGAATCCTGGTTGGTGGGTGACCTGGGGTAAGCCAAAGAGTTCTCACACAAGAAAGTTAGCAAACAGCCTGCCTGGTGCTTCGCCGTCATCCTAGCCTGTTTCAGGGATAAGGTATCTTGCGTGTGTATAAACGGCATCCTTTTTTTGGTCCTAGAAGAGGCAAGCATACTGCACACTGTTTATCTATGAATATATCTCCTCACCAGTCAGTTATTTCATTAGGGAGCCCCCATTAGAGAAAGCACAAAAGCATGAGGCAGTATAGCATCGTGGTTAGGGATCATATCTCGTGTGAGGAATTTTGAGGCTCAAATATATACACACTACAAGTGGGTTCTGGGGATTTGAACTCAAGTCCTTAGACTTGCATATAAGCACTTTTAGGGATGGACAAGCCTCCTGAGCCTTGTACTATTTTTCAGGTGCGTGAACTTGGACACATGATTTAAAGTTTCTAAGTCTCATTCTTTTCCTCAGTTGTAAAATGGGAAGGGTAACATTGCTACATCGTCAGCTCAGTGTATTCACGAAGATAATGTGCAAGACGGCTCAGCGTCGCAGCCAGCGCAGGACTTACATCCACTGGTGGCTCAGCAGAAGCAAAACTCTGAGCGGCTGTGACCTGTCACAGTCCCTTGAGAAATCACTGCTGCTTAGAAACAACACGACAGACCCACACTTTGAGTCTACACACTTTTGACAGGACTGATTTATTGTGGCTGAGACACAGCTTTGACAGACGGAAGTCACCTGATTCCCCACAATCTAGCACAACAGGAGCCCCGAACTGAAAACAGAAAGCCTAGGACCAAGGCATAATGACGGAGAGCTGGTATTACAGGACAAATCAAACACAGCAAGGACTCACTTTCAGGGGCGTGGGGGTATTCAGAAAGGGGACGGGCAGCCTGACATTCCTCAAGAGTCCCCGAAGGCACTGCTGCATTGTTGAACCCACTAGTGAGCCATGTGGACTGTCACGTGTGCCTCTGTCTTGCAGGGAAAACATCATGTGTACGCACTATGTGGAAAGGCAGGGGACCAATTTCTCTACCACCAGGCAAGCACTACCCAAAAAAATTTTTAAGTAATATTTCAGTGCTGCAAGACAGGTCATTTGCACAGAAGATACTCGTGGGGAAAACAATTCCCAACAAAGTTGGACCGGTGAAATGTCATATTTATAAAGCTGAATCATCACTGTAAATCACTATATAAATTCACCACCACCACCCCCAAAAGACAGTGGCTACATAGCTTTGGTACAAAGGAACAAGGCCAACTTGCCTACGAGATTTTCATGGATGACATGTTATTCTATGAACTGCCCCTTTCAACTCAACTCGCGAAGGGGTGCAGTGCAAAAAGACAGACAAAAAACCAACACCAAACAAGGCTTCCCACTAATACTCGGTGACGACAGTCTGTGGGAATCCTGTCCCTCTCCGTACTTGACGACACGCGAGGGAGGCTAGACAATACGGTCTTCAAGGTCCGGCCAGACTTGATGCTATGGGATGAAGTTACCTCACCCAGTCGATGGGGACCCAGAAAGTGTCCTTGCTCAGCTTCTCTATGACAGCTCTGAGCTGGCTGCAGATGCCCTGCAGGTCCTCCCTCACGAGCACAGTGTCAATCAGATGCCCATAGTGCTGATCAATGAAGGCAGCAGAGGCAGCCATCTCTTGCTGTTGTTCATCCTGCATGGAAAGAGACAGTATGGGGCCTGGGGGAGCACTCCCCTGTCGGAACCTGCATTTATTTACGGTGTCGAATGGATCCCTGTACCCTGTAGATAACCTTAACTGTGAGCAGGAGACTAGAGTGTAGTAACAGCATATCACACAGAAGGAAATCAGTGGGCAGCAGACACAATCACTCACTCACAAAATATCCCCTCAGGACCTCTGAACTGAGAACCATTGTTTCAGGATACCTCATTACATTTGTGTATAAATGTCAGCATCATGTTCCTGATGTGGCGGTACACATCAGCAATCCCAGCACTTAGGAGGCTAAGGCAAGGGGATCATGAGTTCTAATCTAGCCTGGGCTGTAAAGCAAGACCCTGTCTCCAAAAAATAGAGGAGTTCTATTGACTAGTAGCAGATCACTTGCCTAATGTATGTAAGGCCTGGGGGATTGATCCTTAATATCACACACACGAAAGAGGGACTGAAAAGATGTCTCATTAGGTAAAGTGTTTGCCATGCAAGGACAAGGACCCAAGTTCAGATCCCAAGCAACCATGTAAAAGCTGGGTGGATATGCATCTATAACCCTAACACTGGGGCAGAGTAGGGAAAGACAGAGATAGGCAAATCCCAGAGGCTGGCTGGCCAGTCCAGTCTAGTCAAAATGGCAAGCCCCAGTTTCAGTGAGAGACCCTGCCTCAAAAATAAGGTGGAGAAGTGAGAGGAAGATACCTGACATCAACCTCTGGTCTCTACACTCCCACCACCCACACAGACTTACAAGCACCCTCCGGGTTGACTTTTTCATTTATAAGGATCCATTGATTCTTTTACACCAGGGCTGAACAAGGAGTCACTGATTCTTCGTTTTATACCAGGGCTGAGTTAGCAGGATAGCGAAGGGAGGAGAGCCTTGGGACAACTCTGCTCAAATACCCTATCTCCTAGGGCCCTTCGCTTCTTTCCCAACACCTCGCATTAAGATCTACATAGAAACTCTGTTTTCCCCAGCCTAGTGGGGTTTCATACAGAGTCCCAAGAAATTTGAATTTCAATCATGTAGCACAGACAACGAGCCTGGTTTGTGGAGAAAGTGGAAGATCTACTCGGAAAAATACAACGTGAAATTTGTTGGCTTCACCGATGCCCCTTTCTGTCCCTCTGCAGTCCTCTGTGTTTCTAGGGACCTGTTTTCACAATGCCATATGGGAAGGTGGAATTCTGGCCTCCCCCATGGAGACCAACTTCCAAAATATTCTTTCCCCCTCTGTCATCAGTTCCTACTTTTCTTCTGCATCAGTGATTTCAGGGATGAATGATGAAGGCCCAGACAGTTTTTTTTTTTAAAAAAAAAATTCTGGAAATCTAAGAAAATATTGAGATTATTTCTCCTTATATCTGCCAAGAGGAAAAAACCTAGGTTAACCTCTGCAGTGTCTCCACACAGCCTCTGGACCTTCAGTCCTGCCTCACCCACTGCTGCAAGCAAGCAAGCAAGCAAGCAAGCAAGCAAGCAAGCACACACACACGCATGCACACTCGTAGAACAAAACCAATGAAAACCAAGGTGACAACTCGTGAGCAAAGACACCTAAAGCTGACCTCTGATCTCCATATTCACATTTGTGTAATGCACACACACACCCTGCACATACGACCTGTATATACACACTCCACATACACATTCAACACTTGGGTTTGACTCAGAAATCCGACAGCGTGTGTGGTCTGTCACACTCACACAGGGTTCCTGACACCTATCGGTTCCCTGTTAGGGGAGGATGCTGGCATTAGGTTGCAGAGGGTGGTGAGTCCAGGCAAAGACGTCCTTCCTAAGTTAGAAGGCATGGTCCCCACCCACCCTGAACCCTCTGGCTACGTGACCATCTTCTCTTAGTCTTGTAAAAGGGATCTTAACGACAGCCTTATGCGGAAAGCATGCCCTCTGTCCCTCTTCCTCAGAGGACCCACAGTCGGCTAGGTGCAGCCCCTCCCTTGAAAGGAGACATGATCAACTTTCAACTTACAAGCCGAGCTGCTGTGCCCTCAGAGTCTGGAGACACAGGCGGCGTCTTCCTTTTCTCCTGAATTGCAGGTTTTACAAATATAATATAGGGTTTAAACTCGGGGGTCCTCAGATGTCTTAGTGCCTTAAAAAAAGAAATCCAGAAAATTATACGCTCTTTGCAACACATACATTCTGGAAGCTCAGTCCTCCTGGGCTTTTATCCTCAGTGGTCCAGGTGGTCAGTCCTAAGACGATGGACTTCTACTGGGCAGCCTAGTGCATTCTCTCATCTTTCACGTGGGCACTGAACTCCTCTGGGCCAGACAGGCTACTTGAGAGCAGAGGAGCCCAGAGCCCAGAGTTTCTCTTCGCTGCGACTCTCCAACCCAGGTAACCTCCTTGGGCTCTTTCGGATCGGTCCATAGCTAAGCCAAGGGTGCAAGGCTCAGCATGCATAGGTCTTAGTCTCCACCATCAATCTAGCTACACTGTGTGTGACTGGGCTGTTCCACGGGCCACCTTCCAATACTCAAAGTAGCAAAGGTTTGCAGGGTAAAGTGATGATCTATGGGGTCACTGTACAGATTTCTGTCTTCCCACACACAAACCATACTGCTAACAGAGTGCATCTTCTGCACAGGGTAAAGGCCTTCATTTGTCCACACCGGGATTAAATTTCTACACACTATCTGCATAAATAAAAAAATCAACAAAATCATGCTTCAAAAAATATTTCAGATTAAAGGTGGCACACGCCTTTAATCCCAGCACTCGGGAGGCAGACACAGAGGATCTGAGTTCTAGACCAGCCTGGTCTACAAAGGCAGGATGGTCAGTGCTGTACACAGCTTCTTTGTGTACAGAGAAACCCTGTCTTGAGAAAAAAATGAAAATCTTGGAGGAGCTGGAGCGATAACTCAGCACTTAAAAGCACTGACTGACCTGCTCTTCCAGAGGACCCAGTTTCGATTTCCCAGCACCCACGTGGTGCTCACAACTGTCTGTAACTGCAGTTCCAAGAGATCCAATGCCCTCACCTGGTCTCCTCGGCCACCGTAGACACGTAGTGCACAGACACAGAGGCAGGCAAAGCACTCACGCACATAAAAATGAGATGAGGATTTAAAACAAATTGAAAACAAATCTTTGACATTTGTATTTTGGTAGTTTTATAAAGGTGTATTTTTATGTGGATGAATGTTTTGCCTGTGTGTGCCTGGTGCCCTTGGAGGCCTGAAGACAGGTCGGAGCCCCTAGAATTGGAGTTACAGACAGTTTGTGAGCTACCATGTAAGGCCAAGAAGTGAACCCAGGCCCTTTGTAAAAGCACACACACTCACATCTGAAAATGAGTGCAAAAGCGCACACACTTACGCCTGCATGAGCGCAGGTACCCGAAGAGGCCCAAGGAGGGCGATGGATCCCCTGGAGCTAGAATTACAGGCAGCTGTGAGCCACCCCGCGTGAAAGAGAACTGAGCTTTGGCCTCCTACAAGAGCAGTGTGCGCTCTTAGGCGCTGAGCCATCTCTCCAGCCTCTAGGCATTGATGTTACTACCAACTCATGGTGAGCGCAAATAAGTGAGCCGTTCCCTTCCAGGCAAGCTGTGCTTTTAGAAATATGTTTCAAGGCGACTCGGATAAAACAAAGCACACACTTTATACTCTAACATCAAAACTCCGCTCCTGTAGTAGGGTAAAAAATCCTTATGCTGAGTTCAAAGTGAGGGAGTTTTTCTGAAAGACAAGGTTAAGACGACGGCCAGATGCCTGTGGAGCCTGCAGATGTCCAGCTGCGGGGAGCCGGGACAGGCTCTGAAGGTCAGCGCAGGTCAGGCTGCTCCCCAACTCTTCCCTCGGGGCCTCTCCTTCACTACATATACTTGTTCCCATTGCGGAGGCAGGAGACTGGCAAGGAAGGAGAGGAGCAACAGCGTGGCCTGGGTATACACACTAAGAGTTTTCTGTCCTGTTACAATTGGCTGAGTAGAGCCAGGGACTTAAACATGTATGTGCATGCCTGCGTGTGGCTACGTGCATTTGCGAATGCAATGCCGGCAGAGTCCACAGAGGGCGTCAGATCCCCCCTGGGACTGGAGATGCAGGTTGTCTTTCTAGAAACTGAACTCGGGTCCTGTGGAAGACCAGCGAGCGCTCTGAGATGCCAAGCCATCTTTACAACCCACTCCCGCCCCTTTTCAGACAAGTTCTTAGTGTGGAGCCCAGGCTTATCTTAAACGCACCATCATCTTGGCTCAGCCTCCCAGGTTCTGGGACTACAGGCATGTGCCACCATAGCTATTGCCAGTCTATTGCATGATTTGATCCACGTAAGGGTTACTGTCCTGGATATCTGAACTACTCAGAGGGTTCCTGGGCTCCCTCAAATTAATTCTGTACTTGATAATAGCAGGGCATTGTTTGGGGCTAAAAAAGAGTTCATCATCCAATTCTCAAGGAGAGGATCAAGCATGCCTAACATTAGTGTTCTGAGCTAAAACTTCCTTAGACTGTTCTAAAGAGTTCTATAGAATGGATAGCCACCCTGGGTTACAAGTTCCATAGACTTGCACGCCCAGATGGCCCAGGAACTCACTTCCGGTTCTACATCCACCAAGCAAACTTTGTTTTTGGCCATAACAGCCTGAATGGCCTCCAGGCTGGTCCCATAGAGATTCTCCTTATATTCACCATGTTCCAGGAATCTAAAACATCATCAAAGGGGAAAGACTTCAGTTTCTGAGCAACCTGAATTTCACACACACATAGACATGAAAGAAGGAAGAAAGAAAAGAAAGAAAGGAAAAGTAGACTTTCCAATACGACATCTCTCCCACTTCCTGCTTCCCCCATCCTCCCAAAAGTCCACCCAAGGGGTCAAATACTCATATAAAATTGGATGATCACAGAGACACATAGACCAGAAGGCCCACTGACTCATGGAGCAACATACTTGTTATGATGCAAGTCAGCCTCGAACGCTTGCTTGGAGACAAAATGATACTCCACCCCTTCCTTCTCATGGCTCTTCCGGGGCCTGGTGGTGTCTTTTAAAGAAAGGAGAATTGCTGGGCCAAGAGCAGCAAAGCCTGCGCCCCTGCCCCAGAGCCCATCACTGATCTCTGCAAGAACCAGCCACTTCCATTCGTCAAGTGTCCTCAAAGGGCACAAGTCTTCCATCCAGGCCAAAGGAGCGCCCCTCCTTCTACAGACAGGATCTCACATAACCCAGACTGGCCTCACATTCACTGCATAGAGAAGGCTGACGGGAGGGGCAACGCCGAGCTTCTCCAGAAGACAGGGGAACTGGGAAGACAGTTATCCAGCCTTGAGGGTGCTCTTCTTCTAGGTGGCATCAGGGCAATCCCCCAAAGAGTTGCTAAGGGCCCCTTCCCACTATCTTCAGACCTTTATCTGCTGATTCGATGCTAAGCATCTTCAGAAGCCCACGAGCCCCCTCATGATCTGCCCAACCTCCAAAGCAGCTTCCTCTCCTGCCTCACTGGCCAGACTAACGTTCCCAGTCCTTAGCACAGCTACCTTGGGTCACACGGTCAACCCTTGGCACAGGCTGCTCCCTATGTACAGCAAACGCTTCCTTTCTTCTCCGCTCGGAAAACTTCTATTTATACTTCAACATTCAACATAAAAATCACCACCTCTGGGAAGCCTTGCCTGACTTCACCTTGCCATGGGTGCCTGGAAACAGGCAGGCCAGGATTCTGAATATAGGCTTCTCGGGGACAGAAGTGTGTGTGTGAGGAACTCCTGACATCCTGCTTCATCCACCTGAGACTTAAAGGCTGGGGCCTCCGAAAGTCCTCAGAGCTATGCTTCCGGAGTGGTCTCCACAGACCCACCATCTCCTCTAAGTCTCTTCTACTTCGGACACTGTTCTAGATGATTCTGATGGCTGTGGACTCGGCTGTTGGATGTGGGCTTGGCTGTTGGCCTTGGGATCAGGAAGAACAATGTGGTCTCAGGAAGTCTCTGTAGTTACCCTTCCCCAAAACATTCTGGAAAAGATCATTCCTGTCCACAATATTCCCTTCCCCTGGTCACCAGACATCCACACTGCATCCCTCCAGGGCCAGAGAATGAGGAAAGGCACTTAGAGAAACAGGACATGGGGCAGCATGGGAAGTGGCCATGTAGCCTCCCACTTAGCAATGACCTGGGCTCCACCTCCTTTCCCCCTGTGTGATGCTAAGCAAGTTACTTAAACTTCTAAGCCCTAAGACTTCTCCTCCTTAGTATGGCATTATAGTACCTCTTCTCTAGGGTACTGGAAGGGGGCAGCCTAGTTTCTACACGTAAGGGCTTAGGGACCTTTCTCTCATTCTCCTCTCCTCCCCTAAAACCAGGACCCACACCTACAACCAGGCAACCCACTGCCTTCGGGATTAGAACCACTGACAATACCCAGGGGTGTGCCCAGCCACCTCGCCAATTACCATCCGGCTACAGCAATAGCTCCCTTCTTAGCGGAACGCTTGGCAGTACCTCCACCTCACCAGCTCCGTACTTCATGGCCAGTGTGTTCTGGATTCACTCCCCTCCCCAGTCAGACACTAGGCAGGTGGTGCACCAGCTGTCACTACTGAGAACGAGACTCTTCCCAATATTTCCCCCCATATGTATATAACATATATATGGTCCCCCCATATGTATATAACATATATGTAACAGGCAATGTCTGGTGGGTGCTCACACCCAAAGTACCAAAAATGTCAAGATGAGCATGAAGAATCCAGTCCCTGGAAAGCATTCATGGGCATGCGTGCACGCGTACACACACACACACGCACACACACACACAAGCCCTCTTACGTGGAACTGCAACACCAAAGTGTTGGGGGTCCTCGGCCACCACCCTTTGCTTCAGCTCATGCAGTTGGGCTCCCAGAGACCCTGGAACAAAGGGAAGGTTGCCTCAATCCCTACAGAACTCCTTCCTCAACACGCCTGAGGAAGCCAGCCCACCTGGAAACTCAGGATGTCACCTACCAATCAGAACCACCAGGCGGGGCCGCTCCCCAGGCTGCTGTTGGTACCTGGCCACCTCCTCATAGGTCAGCAGCTCCTGAGACTCGGCTCCTGCAGCCACCTTTGCCTCCTGCGAGCCACCCAGCCTCTCCCTGCAGCCTAGCCGGAAGCTTCTCCGAAGGCCAGCTTGAGGAGGGAAAAGGACAAGGTGGCATTGGTTCTGAGATTCCCCAATAAAGGCTTTCTACAGGGAGCCAAGGACGGAGGTAAGGCTGGGCACCTGGCTGCCCAGCCTCCTGCGCTGGCCACACAGGTGGCCCCCACACCCAAAGACTGGAGCTCAAAGTCACTGTTTTCCTTGCTGTGTGACTGACCTTGGATTAATAAGTCGCTTCATTTCTCTGAGCCTCCATTTCCTTATCAGTAAAATGGGAACTCTGATGTATAAAGGCAGTGGATGGGTCTAGAGTGGATCCCAGAGCAGGGGAAATGAAGGGCATTATTGAGACAACTAGTGACATTTTAATAATGGCATATAAGACAATAGCATTGTATGCAAAGGAAATGTCCGAGATTTGATCACTACCCTGAGGTCCTGTCACAGGATGTCCTGTCCATAAGAAATACAGACCGAGGTGCGTGGGGGTACAGGGACAGGATGTGTACATTAACTCTCACGTGACAGGCGGCAGCAAAAGAAATGAGAAAGACTCGGAGAGTTAAAAATTCTCAGGTCTGGTGTGGAGTACCCAGGGGTTCTCTGCCTAGTTGTGTGAGTTTGAAATCACATCTGAATAAACACTGGGAGACATTTCCCTGTCTTCTCTGACCTTTGAGGGGGAAACGCTGGGGAAAATGAAATCCCTTCGCTCTGTGTGGTGGTGAGGTCCACACTGAACAAACTCCAATTACAACGATGGAGATCAAATTTTACAACGATGGAGATCAAATTAGTGTCAGCGTAGGGCTCCGTGTCTCTCTCCAGCTCTGCGGCTGGGCGGGCCCTGGGTCTGAGTGGGCACCGCCTTCTGCTGACTGATTCCTGGGCAATGAGATGAGGGTCCCCCAGGCTCAGTAGCCCTTGTCAGGTGCCTGGGGGAGCCTGGGCCTGGGCATGGAGGGTTGCCAGGGGAGCAACTCACCCACATAGTGTCCTTTGGGGTACCCTTCACAGTCACAGGTCTCTGGAAACCAAACAGAGAGATGGGTGATGCACACTGGATACATCCTCAAGTCCACAGGGACCCAGCCCCTAGGTAGCCAGGCAGAGCACTAAAGGGATAGTGATGGGGGACGGTCTAGAAAAGTCTATCTCTTAGTGGCCTTGGGACCAGCTCTTCTGTTTCCAGCCCTTGGTGGGGATTGTGGGCCAGGAAGTCCCCTCCCCGTCTTTGTGAACCCAGATGGGACACAGGAATAAGATGGGAGGCCTCACCCCCTGCCCTGCCTTCCTGTTTCTTGACTCTTACCTAGCACTGGGGTCACAATATCATCCTTTAATGCCAGACACATGGGGAGGGGTCCTAAGGCTTTGAAGCCTGTTCCCACCCCGCGCATCTGGGCAAAGGTACCCAGGTGCGGGGAGGAAAACCAGCCCCCTTAGCCCCAGAGGTGCCATAGAAAAGGGGCCTCATTCATGTGCATGGGGGACAAACACCAGGCCTACCTTTGTCACAAGGCTGATCATCTGCAGTTTGCATAAAAGACAGATGGGACAGCGTTAGTGCAGGGAACCGGGAAGCCCTGCGGCTGCTGAGAGGCAGCTACAGCCTCGGCAGCCTGAGGAGAACTCCATCTGCCCCGTTTCCTTGCTCCAACAACCCTATGATCTGAATGATGGTGCGTTATTAAATCCCAGCCCTGCTAATTAGTCTTCTTGTGTGCGGCTCATTAGCAACCAGAGGAAGTTAGTGTGTGGCCTGTGGAAGCGGCCTCCTGGCCGACCTACTCAGCAGCTTCCCCTCCTGCCTGGTAATGCGGCCATTGGCATTTCTGAGGTACCATGGTAGGAAAGGAACCTGATCGTCTCCCCCCCCCCCATTTCCTAGAGTCTAAGGCCTGCTAGGAAAAATGCAGGTACCTGAACAGGCCCCTCACTCAGTTAGGAGCCACCAGCAACAGAGCGTAGATTTGGGGAAAGTCCCTCTTTGTGAAGGACTCTAATCTGAGCCCCTCCCCCAAAAGACCTCTAAAACCTAATGTGGAACCTTATGAGCCTCCATGCTTCCATTCAGGAAGTGAGGCTGCCGTACCACCCACTTCACAGGGCCACTGTGACCAAAGGCAGGGGAGAGGGAATGGTTCTGCAGTAGAGCACCTGCCTTGTGTGGATGAGGCCCTGGGGTTGGACCTGCCATGACCAAATAATAATTTTTCAAAAATACAAGGTGGCAGGCAAGTCTGTTTTCAGGGCAAGGTACACAGAGAATTTCCAACAAACGCTAAAGCTAAAGCTGTCTCAACCACAGAGAAGTTCTTAGCTTCTACGGGATGCACTAGACAGGAATTGGTGTCTATCTCAGATACAGAACTAAAGAGCATCTTCTGTTGGAACCTCCCAACGCTTTCAGAGGTGCAAGGACACTTAGCAAGGGTGTGCAACTTCTTGGCTTCTCTGGGCCACACTGTCCTGGACCAGGCAGGGTTATCCAATCAGTGGCCCAGGGTTTGGGGGGAGGGTACATGCACTGAAGGGACACTGAGACAAAATATTATCTAAAAGTTCACACTTGGGCTGGAGAGATGGCTCAGTGGTTGAGAGCACTGACTGCTCTTCCAGAGGACCCGGGTTCAATTCCCAGCACCCACAGGGCAGCTCACAATTGTCTGAAGATCCAGTTGCAGGGGATCTGACACCCTCACACCAATGAACATAAAATAAAGTTAAATAAACCATAAAAATATTTAGAAAAAAAGAATTAGTTAATAAGAAGCCTGAGCTAATAGACCAACCAGTTTAACAAAAAAAGTTCACACTTGAAAACCACACAATTGAGTTAGCAAAAAATAAATAAATAAAGTCACAAAAAATCATAATGATTAAGCAATTTTACAATTGGGGTACATTCATATGGCTGTGCGTGGACACCCCTGATTCCCATTCCATATCAGCAAATTTTAATGGTCAAGTTCAAAGTGTTCCTTAGGCAGCTGACGAGAGCTTGGCACTCTCTTCCAAACAGACACCCACAGAGGCTTGCATACCAGCTTGGCATGGTGTTAACATGTCCCCAGGGGTATCCATGAACCCCAATATAGAAGTTCTTCTCTAGGACAGTTGCCCTCCCCTCCCCACCTTCTCTTTCCTCTGGAGGTCTGCAGGTTCAGACGACCTCTGGTGACCCTCCCTCTAGCTCGGTGTCAGTTTCTTCCACCCCTCCTGCACCCCTCCTCCGCCAGTCTACTCACAGGGGGGCTTTTTGAAGCTCTGGGGGCTTGGCAGGGTGCCTGTCGTTCTCCGGTAGCTCAGCCGCCTGCAGGGACACAGATGGACGCCACCAGCTGGGTTAGAGAACTAGCTGAAGAAAACTTTCTAGAAACTTTGGGAAACCAAGGCCTGAATTCCACAGCTGAATACACCTGGGCACGCCAAGGACCTCCTACTTCACAGGGAGTTCTGGGTAGGGAAGGGGACACGTTCACAGAGCTGAACAGTTTATTTAATTTTTTAAATTTTTTAAAAATGTTTATTTATTTATTATGTATACAATATTCTGTCTGTGTATGTCTGCAGGCCAGAAGAGGGCACCAGACCTCATTACAGATGGTTGTGAGCCACCATGTGGTTGCCGGGAATTGAACTCAGAACCTTTGGAAGAGGAGGCAATGCTCTTTAACCACTGAGCCATCTCTCCAGCCCCGAGCTGACTAGTTTATAATGGGGGGAAAAATGAGTCTCCCAGCCTGTAAAAGGCTTGTCCTTCCCAAGACAGTCACACGAAGCAATGCGAGCTGGTGCCCGGGTCATCACTGCTGGTTATACTACCTCAGCTGACTCCTGAGGCAGGGAGGTTCTTCTCCACCCCTACCCTGCCTCCCCATCCCTGAGGAAAACGGAAACCAGCAGAACTCTCAGGAAGAGCTGTGGGTCAGAAGTGACACTGATATCACATCCCCCCACACACACACTACTGCAGGGCATGGCCCTCCCCAGCAGTATCCAAGACAGGTGTCAGGCAGGACATCACCCAGGTATCCCTTGGATCAAGCATCATGGCAGGGCTCTTGCAGCATCTAGATTCCGTATTTCAGAGGCAAGAGTCTGGGGAGAACGCTGGTCAAGTGCCTGCCATGCAAGCAGGAAGAACCGAGTTTGAGCCTCAGCATCAACAAAAGAACTGCTGGAGGCTGTGACACACTTTGGTTGTAATACCAGTTCTGGGAAGGCAGGGACAGGGGATCCCTGAGGTTTGCTGGCCATAAAGACTAGTCACATCAGTGGGACAGGTTCAGAGACCCTGTCTCAAAAACTCAGGGTGAGAACAATCAAGGAAGACACTGGGTACTAACCTCAGCCTCCACATACGCACACACAAGGGCATGGGTGCATGCATACACACGTGCAAAAAATAAACAAAAATAATAAAGCAGGTAAGGGCTCTCTTCCACCTCGAAGACAGTGAGACCTGCAAACCTTCTGTGTGCATGATCACGATAGCAACCTATATCAGAGAAAAACTGCAGCCCGCCTTAGGGGGCAGCCACAGGGAAGTCAGACAGTGTTCAGGCACGACCCTTCCTCCATGAAGCCTTCTCTGCATACCTGGACAAGAAAGGGTTCATGCCCCTGGTACAAGATCACAAAGAAAACGTCCCTCACACCAGTCGCCGCTACATAGAGTGTGTGTCGGAAGGAGATCTGGTTTTTCCTCTGCACTGTGAGTTCCTTCAGGGCAGAGCAAGGGTTCACAGCTGAGGTTAAGATGCCTAACACAAGTGCCCGGGATGCTGACTTGCACTCAAGAGGCTGACTCAGAAAGATTGTCATGAGTTCAAGGTCAGCCTGTGCTACACGGCAAGACCTAGCCTCAAAACAACGCTACTAACACTGACAACAACAGTAACAACAGCAACAATAATAAACGACTAAAAATGACAAAGGGCTGTAGAGATGGCCCAATGGTTGAGAGCAGTGGCTGCTCCTCCAGAGAACCTAGGTTTGGCTCCCAGCACCCACATGGCAGCTCACAACAACCTGGAACTCCAGTTCTCCAGGAGATCCAATGCCCTCTTCTGATGTCCACATCCCCAGGCACTGCTTGCACACAGTGCATACAATATACATGCAGGCACACACATACACATTAAGTGATTTTTAAAAGATATATAGCACAAGTCAAACCAATCCTAATAAACACAGCTCAAGAGCAAGTGTTAATTCCTCGTGAAGTATCACATAACCGTTAAGATGGTATACGAGGAATATGCAAACATGGGAAATGCTAATGTCAAACTCTCAAGTTAAAAAAGGGAAACTCTGGGTGCAACACACACAGAGAGAGCACAGATGGGAGACAAACTGTGCTCTTTGGACGCACAAGCCTCTGGGTAATTTTCTCTCCCTAGTTCCCTTCTGAATGTTCACCAACCCACTCTCTGCTAGTTCATGTTATAACGTATCGTCGGTCCTGTGTGCTTGAGCTCCATATCCGCAAACTCAACTCACCGCAGCTTGGAAATATCTGGGAAAAACCCCTGAGCCTACACTGGCTGTGTACTTCCTGTCTTCTCCTTGTTTCCACAGAATACAGCATGTCAATCTGTCACGTGGCCCTTACACGGAATAGCTACCTTAGTTTCTTTACTACTGTGATAAGAGGCCATGACCAAGCAAACTGAGAGAAGAGTTTAATTTGGGTCTCACAGTTCTAGAGGATTGGAGTTTATGACCATCATGATGGGGACCATGGCGGCAGGCGGGCATGGTGCTGGAACCATGCTGAAGGCTTGCATCTCAACCCACAAGCACAAAGCAGAGGAAGCTAGCTGGCAATGGCAATGATATGGGCTTTGGAAACCCCACAGCCCAGCCCCAGTGACACAGCTCCTCCAACAAGGCCACACCTCCTAATCCTTCCCAGACCGGTCCACCAACAGGAACCAAGCATTCACACATGAGCCTATGGGGGTCGTTCTTATTTAAACCACTACAGTGTGGCAACCAAAATCATCCCGAGAAGAGTCGCAGCACCAAAAGACAATGTGTGTGGGAGTGGGGTGGGGTGGAGGAGTCATACGCAAATGCAGTACAAATTTAGACAAGGCCCTTAAGCACCTACTGATTTTGGTATCCAGAAGGTTCTAGAAGTATATTCAGAGTGTACTAACGGACAACTGTATACATTAACTCCGTTCAAATGTTCTAGCTGGTCCTCATGTGAGGCCTGAAGGGAGGCCGAAGCAGAAGGCCTGCAAATTAAGGCTATCCTGAGCTAAAGTATGAGTTCAAGGCCAGCCTGGGCAACTTAATGAGGCCCTGTCTCTAAACAGAAAAGTGAAACAGAAGGCTGGACCTGTAATTCAAGAAGGACATGTGCTTTTTCAGGTCCTGGATTTGATTCCCAACAGTGAAAAAGAAAAGCAAATGTCCATGCATTTATTGAAATCTCAAAGAGCCATTTCCACTAGCTATGGGACCAGAACAGACGTGTACACAAAGGAAACTGTATTTCTGTCAGCAGGTTCCCCCACGACTGAGGTGACAGAGACTCAGGGGGGTTGGGTTTCAGTCACACGGTGGCGGCAGCATCCCAAACCTACCTCTCCTGGAACTGCTTGGAAGGGATGAGGCCAGCTCGGAGGTTAGTGTCTCCCACTCTCTTGGCCTGCCACCAGGTGGGGTCGTCCTGGCTCACCACCTCCAGGACCTGCCTCCGCTGGAAGGGCAGGCCTGCCTCCTGGCAGGGGATGGCACGATCCTCCCGAGGGTCATAGTGGAAGAGGGCACGCATGAACACCTGTAAGGCAAGGGCTGCAGTGAGGGGACCCTGCTATATAAGGGCACAGGCCGCACAATGACAACGGCCCTTCATAGTTAGAAGACACACGTGGCCCTGTAGCGTAGAAAGTTAGTTAGAAACACCCTGCTTTTGTTTCTTAGGGTTCTTCATCCATTTGGGATATTTAAGTCAAGAAATCCATAGGTCATTGGAAAATGCCTGGCTGGGGAATGGCTCAGTGGTACAGTGTGCTTGTCCAGCACCTATGACCAACAGCACCAACACCAAAATCAAACAAACAGACTCAGAAAACAGGGGCCAGTGGGTAAAGGCGCTTCATATGCAAACCTGACAAACTGAGTTCCTCCCCCTAGTTTTCTTCACTGGAGAAAAGTAACCCCTACAAGTTGTTCTCCGGCCTCCATGTGTGCACTGTAGTATGATGCATGCATACACACGCGCGCACACACACACACACACACACACACACCCTCCATGTGTGCACTGTGGTATGATGCATGCATGCACGTGCGCACATGCACACACACACACACATACACACACACATACACACACACAATCTTACTTAATTAAAATGAAAACGTAAAAAAAAGAAAATATATATACAAATCCTACGTCTGACTTTCTCTTTCCAACCAAAATGTTTCCCCGTGGCCCTGATCCGCCATGCTTAGAGCCTCAACCACACTAAGTAACAACTAACCCTGGAGACACGAAGCAAACACACACACAATGTGCAACCATTGTTACTTTTACTACGACCTGCTCTTGATGAAGTGAGGTGCCATCTATGCAAGGAAGGACCCAGAGGTCCTCTGAGAAAGGAAACCCAGAAGTCAGCAAAACCTACTTGATCGACTTCAAAGTCTGTAACGGGCACCCACAGCTTCGACAGCCCCACCTTGCCTTGTCTGCCATGTATCTGGTCAAGTCTCCTCTCTGGGGAAGGGGGGACACAGAGCTGCCTCCCACCCTTTGCTCCCTTGTCACCCAGTGCTATGAATTTATGGCAAGTACTCTAGTTCTAGACTGTGTGGGCCCCATTATTATAGTGGCGAAGAGAAAAGAAAGAGATCAGGGGCTGGAGAGACGGCTCAGAGGTTAAGAGCATTGCCTGTTCTTCCAAAGGTCCTGAGTTCAATTCTCAGCAACCACATGGTGGCTCACAACCATCTCATAATGGGGTCTGGTGCCCTCTTCTGGCCTGCGGGTATACACACAGACAGACTATTGTATACATAATAAATAAATATTTTTTAAAAAAAAAGAAAAGAAAAGAAAGAGATCAGGGTCATCTTCAGACGTGCCTGCGTGAGATCCCCTCATGCGACAAAAACAAAAGATTAAAGTAGACAGCAGTAAGAACCTTCTGGCCTCTGAGGTAGAGACAGGCACCCTCACCCAAAAACAGACACTATAGTGCAGCGAGAGGCTGTCCAGACAGTGCAGTAGGTCACAAGGAAAGATTTAAGAGGACAGGGCTAAGGGAGAGGGTACCACATTCTTTTCCTGTATCAAGTCCACAGGATGCTATGGCCCCACACTGGGGCCAATGTCATTCATGCCCTGGGAGTTAATCCAAGAGCACTAGGAAGAAACAGTCATGGCAAGGCAATTCAGTGGCTGTAAACCAAGAGGCCAGGGGAGACACCAGCTGTCCCCAACCACCTGTCCTTCATCAATAATGTCTCGGCACCTTTGCTGGGTCAGAAGCTGTCCTGAGCCTTCTTTCATACATTCAGCACAGGGTGGCAAGGCTGGCTGGCCGGCTCCCTCACCACACGATGAAAACTCATTTTTTCTCCTTTCTGCCTCATGTCCAAGAACTTCCAACTCCAAATTCATCACAAAATCAAATCGATACCCTCTGCCATTCTCAATAACCTCCCACCTGGGCTTCCAAACAGCCTCATTCTGCACCTCCCTGCCTCTGACCTTCACCCATTCCAGGCCCTCCAGGGCAGCCGTTCTCAACCTGTGGGTCTCAACCCCTGTGGGGATTGTATATCAGAGATTTACATTACAATTCATAACAGTAACAAAATTACAGTTAGGAAGTAGCAACACAGTAATTTCATGGGGGGGGGTCACCACACGTGAGGAACTGTATTAAAGGGGTGCAGCTTTAGGAAGGTTGAGAACCACTGCCCAGAGGGCTTGGGCTGTCCAGAGAACTTTTGGAAACACCCTTGTGATCGGATTGTCCTTGGCCTCTCACCAAGGCAGGCGAGATGGCTCGGCAGGTAGAGACACTTGCCGCCAAACCTGATGATCTGAGCTCGAGCCCCCAAACCCACATTGTAAAAGGAGCAAACTGACCCCTGCTGGCTTTCATTTGATTTCCGTGCCGAGAGGCATTCACCCCACACACCTGAGAAGTAGGCCTTCTTCCCACGGTGGGGCTGTCTCCTGGGCTCTGGGCTGTTTCCCCATTCCCCAGGGTTGTACCACTGTAGTGTACGCCGGCTGACCTCAGGGTACACCTGCATCCCTTTGCCTGAGGACTTCCATCCTGTGGGTGCTGAGTTTGTTGTCTCTAATCTAGCAGTCAGCAGCTACAAAGGACAAAGCCCCAGTGCCTGCTGGGAGTTATGTACACAACTCCCCAGTTCTTGGCTGGGAAGAACAGCAGCATGTTCTGATCCCCAAAGCGCTTCGGGATTAAGCTTCAGGCACTCTCAGTGGGTGGTGGCTTCTGGGAAGCAAATTCTCCAGTAGGACTGCCTGCCCTTCCCCTCAGCTCCCAACCCACAGAGCCTGGGTCACTTCCCACCAAATAAGCTGTGTGCCTTAAAACCTTTAATCCAGGGTCGGCTTACAGGAGCACCCAAACTAGGCAAGAATTGTGCGGAGTCCTTCACAAGGGAACCCATGTCCCCAGCAATGCTCGCCCTCCCACACTGCCCTTTCTCTCAGACTCCTCCAGACCTCTATCTAACAGATGCCTTGATCTGACCCTTCTCTCTGAAATTCTAACCATCTTTACCTCCCTCCAACCCCAGCACCCAACCCGAAATGCCTCCTGAGATGTCTCTCGCACTACAGACTCTTCCAGAACCACTTGCCACACAGCCGTGAACCATTTGTTCGACAATCTCCCTTCTACAGTGAAAACCCTCAGGCAGAGAGGTCAGGACCAAAGGTAGGCCCGGTGAACAACCAAGCTAATAGCAGCAACTTCACTGATCCGGAATCCAGTTCCTAAGCACCTTCTCTCCGTGGCCCAGATTTTCTACTCAATTACAATAAGCTTGCCTTTTGTTAGCACATGGCGTGCAATCCTGTTTCCAAACAGCAGGGTGCAATGAGTCACCTAGGACTGTCAGAGCCCTTGGCTGGAGAGAGGTTACCGGGGCCAGGTGCACAAGTTGTTCAGATGATGGCGACCAAAGCCTGGTAAGGTTCAGACACCCACCCTGCCTCAGCAGAACAAGCCCCAGGGAGCCCACCTCCCACTCATATACCTTGCTCTCTTTGAAGCGGTCTTCCTCCTGGGTGGCAGGAATGATCTTGAGGGTGATGGATCCCTGGGACTGGGCCTGAAGGGAGCAGGAACAGAGGTCGATGGCTTTGTAGACCCGATGCTCAGTGAGTTCCGGTCTCACTGCCTAGGTGGGTGTTCAGAATGAAAGGCAGACTGACGGCTTCCATTCCTCTGCCCTGGTGGCATTTGCTATTAAGAATCAAGGGCCTGCCTATGGCAGTGAATATGGAAACGGAAACACTGCCTTTACATGGGACACAGAGACCGGAGATTTTCATTAGGGCTCAAGGCATGCACTGAGTTTCAGCTCCCCAAAGTGCCAGATCTCGGGGGTTCCATGACCTCCCCTTCTTGGGTTATTTTAAATTCTATTTATTTTTATGTATATGAGTGTTTTATCTACATGTATATCTATATACCATTTGCATGTCTGGTGTCTGTAGAGCCAGAAGAGGGCATCAGATCCCCTGGCACTAGGTTTATAGATGGTTGTCAGCCGCCATTTGGGCGTTGGGCATTGATCCTGGGTCCTCTAGAAGAACAGTCAGTGCTCCTAACCACTAAGCCGTCTCTCCAGTCTCTCTTGGGCTATTTTAATAACTCACTTCAGTCAAATTATCCTAGGTCCTGCCTGATTAGTACTTCCTTCCTTGGTTCCACTCGCTCCCATCTTAGGCCATTCCCACCTTTCTAGGCGGTTTCCTTCCCTTCAGGGGCCTGCACCTCAGTGTTAGAGTCCGGGAGGAAGAACAGGATAACCCGGCAAGGACACAGAAATTCACTCTAAACATGAGGAGTTTAGTGTCCTCACCAGGAGCCCACAATGCTCACATAAAGATCAAAGGGCCAGCTACATCCGTGTCACCTCCACCCCCGCAAACACGGGTGGAGACTGAGGGACAGCCTGTCTCTTCAGCGCTAATCTTGCCGGCACCACCCCCACAACCCTCAGAAGTTAGCAAAGCCCGTGGACGATACCCAAGGACGCTCCATCACAGCTGCAGAGGAGCTCACCACAATCTCCATTTTGCCTCATCTGCCCCAGAACAGATGACGACATTGTTTCCATCCCCCCGAATCTTCTCATTGTTATAAAGCACTTGATACCCTTCTTCCATGCTAATAATAACAGGCAGGAGCTGAAAAACCCTCTCTGTCCCCATGTTAGCGCAAAGGAGGTTGGAAGTCAGTTAGACTAGGATAAACCCGAGACTTGAAAGGTCCTCAGACAACAGAGCTGGGGTGAAGAGGAAGACCATGCCGAAGAGAAGGGCTGAGAGAGAGGCAGATGTACTGGAAACCATTTGGTCTGCCCCATCCTCACACAAACAGGGAAGCAGAGGCAGGGCCCCCGCCCTGCAGCCATGCTACACGGACCAGAATCTGACTGATCTCATCTGGACGCTTGTGCAGGACAGCGATCCCATTCACCTCCCGGAGCTCGTCACCGACGTGGACCAGACCTAGGAGACACAGGGATGGGGGTTAGCTCAGCACTAAAACAGTGGCCCTGATGCTGGGCTTCACGCCTCTGGGCGCTAGCGAAGTCACTGCAGGGCGGATTCGGGTCTAAAGATGGAGAAGAGAGTCACGAACTCAGTATCAAATTCAAACCCTCCTCTGGGGAGGTGTCCGTGTACAAGGTACATTTGAGAGCCAAGCACATTCAGCAGCCCTGACAAAGCCACACTGCTAAGAAGTAACAGAGCTACCAAGCACGCATAGGCAGTTCAGCATAGAAAGCTATATTTAGGTGGTAGTAGCACCCACGCTTAATCCTGGCACTTGGGAGGCAGAGGCAGGAGAATCTCTATGAGTCTGAGGCCAGCCTGGTCTACAAAACAAGTTCCAGGACAGCCAGGGCTACACACAGAGAAACCCTGTCGGAAAAAAGGAAGAAAGGAAGAAAGGAAGAAAGAAAGAAAGGAAGAAAGGAAGAAAGGAAGAAAGGAAGAAAGGAAGAAAGGAAGAAAGAAAGAAAGAAAGAAAGAAAGAAAGAAAGAAGGCAGGGAGGGGGAGGAGGAGGAGGAGGGAGGAAGGAAGAAAGGAAAAAGGAAGGAAGGAAGGGAGGAAGGGAGGGAGGAAGGGAGAAAGGAAGGAAGAGAAAAGAAAAGGAAGGAAGGAAGGAAGGAAGGAAGGAAGGAAGGAAGGAAGGAAGGAAGGAAGGAAAGAAGCAAGCAAGCTGTATTTCTTCTGCCACAGCTCTGCTCAGATACAGAGTCAGAGAGAGTGAGTTTAGGTATACAGGTGTGTGGATACTCGTGCACCCATGCATGTAGAGTTCAGAGGACAAGGTTATCTTTCCCTCAGGCACCACCCACCATGTTCTCTGACACAGGGGCTTTCGCTGGGACCTGGGATCACCAATTCAACGCTTTCCTAGCACCGGGCTTACAAGTGCACAAGACCACATTCGGGTTTTTACACGGGTGCTGGGGATCAAACTCAGGGCTTCATGCTTGGGTGGCAAGCACTTTACCAACTAAGCCATCCGCAGCCACTATCTCTGCTTTCTTAAGAGGATTATTAACTCTTTACTCTCCTGGACTGCAGACTCTGAGAATATCTATCCTAAGTCTTAATGAGAAAACTTAAAGGCACCATAACTTATCTATGTATGTATTTATCTACTTAGCTATTTATCATTTATATAGGTATGTAAGTATGTATGTACCTATATATGTATGGATCTATCTATGTATCTATCTATCTATCTATGTATCTATCCATCTATCTTAAGATGCAGGTAGCCTAGGCTGACTTCAAACTCACACTGTAGCAGAGAACTACCTTGAACTTCTGATCCTTCTCCCTCCACTTACTGCATGCTGGGATTACAGGTGTGCACCACCATGCCCGGGTTTATGCAGATGGAACCCATGGCTTCATGCTTTCTGGACAAGCCTACTACCAACTTGGCTGTTCACTCAATCTAGCTTCATTTACTTATTTATTTACTTTAACAGGCTTTTTTTTTTTAATGTAGCCCAGGCTGGTCTTGATCTCTTATATGCAAGGAATCATCCCTTCTGAACTTCCCAAGCAGCTGAGATGACAGGTACAAGCGCCACCACACGCAGTACGTAGCTACCACTTTAATGACAACTATCCTGACACATAATTTTGTCTCTCTGTTGCTCTGAGTGGGCACTGGGCCAGCAGCAGCAGCAGCAGCAGCAGCCACCACCATTAGGACTGCAGATTTCTGAATCAGGACCTATGTGTTACCAATATGCTCAGGGGCCTGAGCTTGCCTCACCAGTCAGTTTTCCAGACCTGGAAGGTAACATCCCCCTACACTGAGAGACCTGCCTACCAGATTACCCATGCACTGATGACCGTCAACCTGTTTACCGCCCAAACTAATCTGGGTCATGAACACTTCCTGCCCACTGCAGTGTCACAGGAGATGAGGGTACTGGAGGTGGCGAAGACCATCCCCACCCCAGCTAAAAATCTCCAACTAAGCCCATCTCCAAACTTAAGTGTTTTAATCTCTGCCTACACCAAATGCCCGAGCCCTTTCCTGATCACCCGGGAGAACTCCAAGCCTCTTAGGCTTCAATTAAATTCCTAATGACCTTGGGACCTTGAGAACTCCATCCACAATCCCCAAAGAGAAACACGCCCCGCAGAGGTTACCCCAGAGGTGGAGAGAGAGCCACCATCTCAGCCAGGCTGGCATCGCCTCACTCCACAAGGTCCACTCACCGCTCCGGTCCGCCGCGCCCCCTCGCATGATCCTGGCCACCACGACAGCCCCTGAGTGCTCATCTCTCCGGATAGTGGCACCCTGAATGAGAGACAAGAACAGGCAGGCTCCAGCAAGGTAACCTCAGCGGGCACTGTTTCCTTCATTCCTCCTCCTGCTAGGCCAGGAAAGTGGATCAGTGGGGACCTTCCCAAGGCTGTGAACACCACGAGACCAGGAGAAAAGAATGAGGAAAACTCCACACTTTGCAGCTCACAAAGCCCAGTGATCATTCTGCACAAAGAACTGGGCCTTTTGAGCTGGGTGTGGGGACACGCAGGCCTGTTATCCCAAACACTCCCAAGGTGGACTACGGAGAATAAAGAGTTCAAGGTCAGCCTCAGCTACACAATGAGTTTGAAGCCAGCTTGAGCTATTTGAGACTTTATCTCAAAAAGAATAATAACTCAATAGAGCCAATGAGATGGTTTGGCTAGTAAAGGTATCCCCCTCCATGCCTGTCTCAATCGCCAGGACCCACATAGCAGGAAGAGAACCAACTCCTACAAATTGCCCTCTCATCTCTATACTTGTGCTGTGGCACACACACGTACACACGCGCACACACGCACACACATGCGCACACACACACACACACACATACACATCCACACATGCACAAAACAAATAAATGCAATTTAAACTGTTATATAAATAAATAAGACATGAAAGACTGGGTATCAGGGAAGCTAAGAATCTTCAAAGTCACCCTCGTAGAAAGGGGAGCTTTTGATGATGCCAACACCAGGGTTTTCTCTGTCTCATCACAGCCCTTGTCACTCGCAGAGACATTTAGTAACGAGGACAGCATGTGCTAGCAAATTCTCAACCTGCCTCGAGCCAATCCCGGTGTTCCTGGGCCTTCTGCCGTTGCCAACAGGAACCAATTATGCCCCTGCCAGAGCATCAGGACCAGGATTTAGCCCAAGAAACACAAAGGGATGATTTCTGGGATAAAAAAGGCACTAATGAGCTCCTAATTTCCTGTACCAGGTAAGTAGGCCCATGTCAGCAGAGATGGGGTGTATGGAAGCTGAGCCCAGATAGCCAGCTCAGCTATTAGCTAGAAATCATGTGGCCTCAGAAAGAAGTCCCTGCATTCTCTGAGCCTGCTTCCTCTAGGATGGGGGAGAGCATTTAACTCAGAGGATTGTGGAGGGGAACCCATAAGGAAACGCAGGAGACAGGTAAACAGTAAGTGTCCAATAAATGTCCGCCATGTGTTACTGACTATCCACGCAAACACTGCACATGTGTTACCACAGCGTTCATCGTCATGAGAAGCACAGACAAGAATTCTGCTGACTACAGAGGCTGTCACCTCCCGAGGCCACTGTTCCCTGACCTGCAAAGTCCCCATCACTGCACATCACATTGTCCTCACTGAACCTCCTCCACCCCCAGCTCTGAGAGTGCACAGGAAGGATCCCGGGACCTGTGCCAACTCCATGGCACAGGTAAGGAAGCAGAAGCAACGGGGACATCTTCATCTGCTGGGAGACAAGGCTCACCCCGTCACAGGTCAGCGGAGGAAAACTGAAACCAGATAATGCCAGTCCTGGGGTTCTCTGAGGCAAGTACTAAGCTCTCTGGGCACCCACCAGTTCCTTCCATCTGATAAACTCGCCTCTTTGCCCAGTTCATTGCTGCTGAAAGCAGCGGCAGAAACAGCATCTATCTGTCAGCCTCCAGGGGAGTGTGGCTGTGCCCACACTACCTGGGTATACAGAGCTGGGTCAGCAAACTGTCTATAAAGAACAAAGTACACATATCTAGGGCTTTGAGGGGAGGCTGGGGTTCCGCTGTCATTACTCAACGTCTCATGACAAATGAGTAAGCATGACCTTGCTTTTTTAAAAAAACAACAAAAAATGACAGTAAAATTAAGCTGTAGGCTACATTTGGGCCTTGGACGGAGTCTGTGAGCGCCTCTTTCTCAGCATAGCGACCACTGACACCCTACACAGCCATGCAGGGCGTGTACTGCACAAAACGGCTTAGCCAAGATTGAGAGGGGCTGCATCCACTCAGGAAAAGGAGTGTCCTGCACATAAAGATGCTGCAGAGGAGAGTGGTCACCCTGGCAAAGTGGCTGCCATTCACAGTGAATTCTGGATGGTGCCTTCCTGGCTGTCTAGGCTGGGGTGAGCTGCAGAGGAATGGGGTCGGGGAGGCCTGTACATACCAGGGGCTCCTTATTTTTCACCAAGCGAACAATCTTCACCGACTCCTCCTCAAACTCCTCGTCGATATTATCGGGCAGAGGGGGCAGAACAGGATCAAAGTTCTTCTGGGCAACTGTGTCGTGTACCATGAGCACAGCCTGCCAGGAAAGCCAGGGGAAAGGGCTGGCACTATGCCCTCACAGGGTTAGAGGGGTCCTTAACCGGGCAGGGGTGGAAAGGGGCTCAGATCGTCTGCCTAAGAAACGTCCCCCTCCTCAGGCCATCACTTAGGATCACCTCACAGAGAAGCCTCCCTCCTTCCATCTCAGGACCCAGCAGTCCCTCCACCCCCGTCCCAGGGGACCCAGCTGCATGGGTGTGCAGGGACGGCGGCATGACTACCCTGAGGTGGGGGGTGGACAGCAGCTGCAGCAGCTCCTTCTCGTCACTGTGCACGGAGGCGGCCTGCAACTCCTCCATCACCTGTAAGACAAGGAGGCGGGAGTCTGCTGGAATCCCTTGGGGGAAAGCCCTCTTTCCTGGGCCTCAGACACAAGGATCCTCTCAGCAAAGACTGCAGCACCTCGAAACATGTCAGATCTGCCACTCTAGGATGGGTGGAGGATGTGGGGGCATCATGGGCAGGGAGGAAACCTGCTAGCCACTGTTGTTTTATGTGGGTTTTCTCAACAAACCAGACACCATGAGCACTTGAAATTTGCTCGTTACGGATGAGAATCTTGAGGCCTGGGGAGATTACAAGTCTTACCCAGGATCACAAACCTCATGGTGGCACAGCCAGGATTTAAACCCAGGCTCATCCAGACGGACAGTCTGTGACCTTGATACTAGGCTATCCCAAGGACAAGGAAACTGGGGCTGAGAGGCCGGGTGACTTGTGTAAGGTCACACAGCTAGGGGCAAAGTTGGCAATGCAGAGCCCAGGGTGTAACCCACTCCAAATGAGCACACTGTGTCTATCAGACTACACCGTCCCCCACAGGACTATCTTCTGGCCTGAGGTTCTCTGGGAAACAGTACAGCTAACCAGTTGGATATTAGGTGATCTATATAGGAGTCAATCTACATTAACAACCCGCATAGCTAAACCGAAAACCCCAAGAACTAAGGTCCCCGAGGAGTCAAGATGCCAGAGCTTGCCAGCAGAGACCCACACACTAAGTCCCTTGAATTCAAGACTTCATGGCAGCCTCCCAAAGCCCAGACACGAAACACTATCTGACCTACTAATATCACCAGGAACAGGTGGGGAGCTACTGATAGGATCCAAGGTTCTCATTTTATAGCTGAGGGAACAGGCTTGTTCCAGAACACACGGTCAGCAGGAATCGTCATGTCTCCTGGCTCAGGCTAGCAAGGCCCTCCTTGATGCCAGAAGGCTCGGGGAGGACTAGAGCTACGGCTCAGCCATACACAACTTTCCTAGCATGTACAAACGTCTAGGTTTGTCCCCCAGCACACACACACACACACACACACACACACACACACACACAGGAGGGGGCGAGATAAAGGAGGTGGAGAAGGGCAAAAAGGAAGTGACCCCTCCCTCTTCATCCTCAGGCTCCCAGCCTCTGATGTCTCCAGCTAAGCAGTGATTACAAGGCGAGCAAGAACATTTTCTGGGTCTGGAGTGTTGCCTCACCTTAAATCAAAACATGAAAGTCTGAGACTTACATCCTCCGCGAGGGCCATGGCACTGTGCAGAACAGGGGTCGGGCTCTGCCTCTCGTAATAGCGGAGTTTCTCGTGAATCTGCAAGGATACACACCACACCCAGGGTTGGGGTGACACCTAGGGCCACAAACCGGGTCCCCTCCACAGCAGTGTATACGGAAAGTCACGCCTAGTGAGTTCAAAACCTTCACAGTGCAGGGAAATGGCTGGAGGGACCCAGGGAAGAGCCCCACTTGGGGACGGGAAAGGAGGCCGAGCAGGCTCTCACCTTCATCAGATAGCTGAGGCTCTTCTCACTGAAGACGTCCCTCAAGAAGCCCATCTCCTCCCTGTGGTTGGAGTCAGGCCTGAGCTGAGAGGTCAGAAGTGCCAGGGTCTCATGCAAACCTGAGGAAGAGGCGAGGAAAACAAGGTCCACAAACAGTGGGACTTCCTGTCCTTGAGAGCTCTCTCAGACAACACCCTCATCCTGCCTTGACAGCAGCCGTCTCCCTGCAGGCTCAGGTCTGCAGGGTAGGCAGGCAACAGCTTCTAGAGGCAATGCCACAGGACTGGTCCCATTAATTTGTGTTTTGTTCCACCTTGTGTCTCCCTAATCCTGTGAGGCCTGGCACGTGCAGCCGAGGTGGAGAACACTCACCCGAGTCTTCGGACAGCACTGGCATGCCTGTGCCTGGCAGGTCCCCAGCTGTCCCTGCAGTTTGTGGGGTGGGGAAGGAGTCACTCAGCAATGAACACACATCACCTGAATCTACTTATGACCTGTGTGAGGACAGAAGAAATGAGAAGAAAACGGTTACTTTTGTTGGGAGTGGGCGGGCAGAGAGCAAGGTTTGTTGGGTGCCCCCAATATGCCAAACATTATGATATTTTCGGACTATGCATAAAACCTTGAAGATGAACACCAATGCTTCCCATTTTACAGAAGAAGAAACAGAGGCTGGGGGTCCTTAAGTAACTTTTGATCCAGAATAGGTACTCAGATCCCTTCTTCCAGGTTGACCTTGGTAGTGCCAAGAGCCCCTGCCTGCCTTGTGCAGGATGCTCTTGCCCACAGCTCTGCCCTCTCTATTGCTACCTTCAAAGAGTGTTGAGTGCTCAATTCCCCTGCAGCAACATCTTTTCAATAAGTACCTGGTTAAGGCCTACAAGAACCCCCATTCCCCAACCCTCCTCCAGCTCCCAAACCAAAGGGACCTCCAGTATGAAGGCAGAGAGGAAATGAAGAAGGGAGAGTGGAGTTTCCGCTATACCGGAAGCAAGTACCCTATCTCAAGAGGCCCACTCCCCAGGTGCTCTGCAGCACGTGGACCTCAAAAAAGTCCTCCTTCAGAGAGGGACAAGGACTCATGATTCATTCATTTGGCAGACGTAGAGCCAGCACGCTGCGCAGAGCACCAGTCAACATTGAAAGCCAGAAGAATGGTACCCAGTCCCCGACCCCCGCCCCCACGCCGGGCTCATCCTTCGGCGGTCTCCAGCTGCGCCCCCCGACCCCCCTCCCGACTCCAGAAGCTTTCGGAAAGAATCTGGGGGACAAACCGCGAGTGCTTCTAGCCTGGAGAGGAGAAACCCCAGGGGAAACTGGGCGGGTGGTGTCAAGGGATGCGGAGCGACGCGGGAAGAAGCCGGACGCACGGGATGCGCGAGCGCGGAGCAGCGAAGGGGACCGCGGGCCGGGAACTGAGCCCCCCGCTGGGGAGGGTGGGCCGCGAGGCTGTCGCACACGCGAGGGGCGGGTCTCCGGGCCACCTCCCGCTGCGCACCGAGTCCCTTGTGTGCCCAGCGCCGCTTCTTACCTCGCCGCCCCGCATCCCCGGCCGCCCGCCTCCTCCCCCCGCCCTCCGC